TGTGCCATCAGACCTGCTCACGAGCTGATCCGTACCGAGACGGCCAGCGTCTCAAACCAGCCCTGCGCGCGCGTGCACACACACACACACCCAGTGCCCCCATCCTCTCCCATGTGAGAAAGCAAACGGGACTGTCGGACGCCCATCCTGAGGACTGGCCCCTCCTTTCAGTCATCTGGCCCAGCTGGCTCCCAGTGTCCCTCACCCCTCCTCACCCGGCCAGGTGTCCTGTTCCATTGACTGCTCTTCAGTGGTCCTCCAGCGTGTTGGCCTCTCCCTCACTGCCCACACCAGCCCGTGAGCCCTTGGTTTTCCTGGGATGGGCGGGTTCTCGGACCACTTCAGGTGCGGGGCCCCCCCTCACTTCCATGCACCGCTTCACGCTTTACCTCCACCCTGTGTGCTAATGATCAGAGTGACTTGTAGGCACATTTCTGCACGTGTGTGTTGCAGCCCGGACCTGGAACAGACCTCCAGCCTTCCTTCAAACAGGCATCTTCACGGAATCTGCAGATCTCATGCAAGCATCACTGCGACGGAAGACTTTTCCAGAACATAAAGGCAGGCTGCCTATGCCCTGCCATGGCAGTGTCAACCTACTGTTCTTCAGAATGCAGACTCTGTCATCCAACAGAGGGAAGGGAGAGGAGCGCGGTACAAGCTCCCAGGATAGCCATCTTGTAGGAAATCAAGCTCAGATCTGGGAGGCCAGGGAAGGAAGGTTTGCTGAGTGCCAGGGATCACCCCACGTTTTCACTTGCTCTTTGATGGATGTCTTGGGGTCCCTGCCCAGCCTGCTCACCCATGCCGCCCTCACTGAAGTCATGGGAGTCTGGATGCTGACCCAGGACAGAAGCTTTACCTCGTGTGGAGGACGAAGGACGGGTGAGGAGCTTGTGGTGTGGGCAGGACAGTGGTGAACTGATGGACTCATGGACAGAGCTGGACACAGGGAGCATCTGTGCCGAGTGCTGGACCACAGGCGTCTGTCACCACACCCGGCCTTCAACACATTTTGTTTTGAGGCTTTCAAAGAATGTTTCCAAAAACCACTCATTACTATATTACATCATACGGTAAGAAGGGATTGCAATGTGACAGACTCTATTCTTACAACCCAAATTAAACCTTCCTTAAAAAGTGGACCAAAAAGAGAATATGAACACAAAAAATGGAGACATTAAACATGAAAACATGAAGGGTATAACCAAACTAAAGACAGAGCCAGTGCAGTAATTTTTATACCCTTTATAATTAGCCTATGAAAATCAGACACAATGGCCCTCTCCTTGGGAAACACATATACATGAAGAATTCTGCGTATCATTTGAGGAGGACCTCACACGTCTACAAGTCCCTAGGCTATAAACATCTGTATTACCAAAGTGAAATAAAGTAAGCAGGTAGTTAAAATTCAGAACACATGAAGCAAGGAAACATGAAGAAAGGAAACAGCAAGGCAAAAAAAAAAAAAAAAAAAAAGGATGAAAACAGAATTGTTGCCAGGCACCTGTGGCTCACACCTGTAATCCTGGTGACTCAGAGGAGGCTGAGATCTAAGGATTGTGGTTCAAAGCCAGCCAGGGCTGGAAAGTCCGTGAGATTCTCATCTCCAATTAGTCACTAGAAAACTGGAAGTGAAGCTGTGGCCTTGAGTAAAAAGGTTCAGGGACAGCACCTTGAGTTAAAGCCTCACAAGGGAAGGGAAAGGGAAAGGGAAAGGGAAAAGGAAAAGGAAAAGGAAAGGCAGAATTGTTAGATCTATCCGCTGACCTTTGGGAAAACTTGAGCAAACATTAAATAGGCAAGTACTAGAAAACTCAACTAAGAAAGAAATCAAAATTAATGAAGTATTCAACAGAACTGCCTAGTAATATATTTAGAAATTTAAGTCTTTCCCCCTGTAAAATTCTAAGTAAGATCAACAACAACAACAACCCCAGAAAACTCAAGCCAACAAAAAAAAGGAAAATATGAATCTAGGCTGAACTGTTTCCTCCAAAAGCACTCCAATCTGATGATTTTGAAGATAAATTATATTGGGAGTATTGAGCTGCAGGTAATCCTCATGCAAATGCTTCCTGGGTGCCTACTCTTAGTCCCATATGCAGTCCTGAGCAAGATAAGGTCATTGTCATGTCAGCATCGCCCTCCGGTGACAAAGAACAGGGAAGTGCATTCCATAAAGCAAACCTGGTCTGGATCCTGAAGCAGCAAGTCTTGCAGTGAGATAAAGACACAGCAAGCCAAAGAGCTGGACATCAACACCATTCTTCTCACAATGGAAAGTCCCATTTGAAAAGACCAGAGGATGCCTTACAGAAATGATGCCTATAAATTCATAACCACTTTAAGAGCCCTAAGCGAACAAACTAAGATTTGAAAGAGGAGCCTATTGAAAATTCTCACGCAAGACCAAGACAGACCAAAGTGCTGTTTTATACGTTAAATTATTTACATACACAGTTCCTCCTGTTTTGTTTTCCCTGTGAGCTGCAGATCTAAGCCAAGGGTGGGCATTTCTCCAAAATATTACCTGGGTTTCTGAAGCAGGTGGATTGAAACACACCCAGTGCAGTCCATGCACAGGCTGGCAAAAGCACCAGACAGGGCAGTCCATCTCAGCTTGGCCTGTGTGAGCACTGTGTGACCCTAGGTGCCCAGCCGAGATTCTTTAAACATGTTCAAAGAACTAACATTTAAAGGTAATATTTTTTTTTTAAAAAGAATGAAATGTTTGGAGAATCTTCTATTTAATTTTTTATAAAACCTGATGTGTCCATTTCTCTATTCCCCTGCAAGTTAAAAAAAAAAAAGTACTAAGTAGCACTCCACTCAGTGGCTCATGCCTGTCAGCCTAGCTATGCAGGAGGCTTGACATCAACTCAGGCAGACAAATCCAGCAACTCAGGCAGACAAATCCAGAAGACTCTTCAACTCACCAGCAAAAACAGCCAGAATGGAGGTATGGCTCCAATGGTAGAACACCAGAGAAAAGGCTAAGAGCCTGAGGCCCCAAGTTCAAGCCCCAGAATATGCCCACATATACATACACCAACTGGCACTGTCCCCCACATTGGGATTTCCAATCATCATGTGCTTACACTCACCGAGGAAAAAACCCCTTTCCAGAGAAAAGTCACAGCTTCTGTCTCCTCCTACCTCCTTCTTGGAGACGGAACCCCTTCCTCACCTGCTCCGCTAACCTGTCTCATTACTTTGCAGTTCTGCACAAAAACGGTAAAGGTCAAAAACAACAACAACAAAAAAAACCCTTTTTAAACCTGACCTGGGGATGTAAAGCAAAAAGGAAAACTGGTAAATCTGGTTGCACACACTGTTCAAAGCCCAGGGCAAGCTACATCCTTCTAATTACCCCGACACAACGCAACTGTCTAGCAGTGTCTCATTAACCAGGCATTAATGACAGGGAATAATTATTAAAATGACCTTTCTGTCAAGGGGATATAAACAAGAGAATTGTTTAACACTAAGATAACACAGTAATGTATTAAAATTGTATCTTGATGAGTCTAGCATGAGGTAAAACTGGGAGCCAAATGAATCTCCTTTCATAGTAGATTGAGCTGTGTAAATAACAGGAAACACCGTGCAGTGTGTGGTTCACACATCAGCAGTAGGTCTTGGCAGAAGTTTGCTTTTCAAAACCCCTATTGACAAACTGCACTTTTCAAAACAGCTTTTTTTCTTGGCTCTTTGATACCAGTAGGTAAGAAATCCCTTGCCCCAATTTCCTGAACAGCAGGGACACAAAACTACAAATGGAATTGTTGACGTGAGCAATACAGAGACAGCTGACGGCTGCTGGTGTGCCAGGCAAACCTCTCTCGCCAGTCCTCAAAATGTTTACACGCACTCAAACAAGTAATTTTTACGCCCACCGAGAGACTGAGCCACACCTGTTGAACTGGCGCAGAGAAAGACTTGAGAAAGACCTTCCCCCTATGAATAACACCAACACTGATGGCTCGAGAAAGTGCCACCAAATACGTGAGCCAGGTCTCCAAACTAGCAAGAGCACCGGCAAACCATCTCCTAATTCAGATCCTGCACCTGGCAGAGGGCTGACCAGACCACACAGGACACACCAGGAAGGGTGACACACAGGGAGGGACACACAAGGGCACAGTGACGGCCCAAGAGACCAGGAGCATCCCTGAAGCCACACTGTGGCTTCTTGTCTTCACACTACAACCAGCTCCGACACAGGGCCCCACGATATTTCAGCAGTCACCCCACCCCCTCCAACGCACATGAAGCGCTGGGGCTGAGCTCCTAGTACTTTTATGGCTAAATACACACAATAGAATGTTTCTAAAGGGATGGAGAGAGACATAATGGAAAGCATAGGGCTTTCAAGTTATTTGAGCGTTGCCAAGTCCTGGGGGCACCCATGTCTCCTGGGATTGCTTGCTGGTGGCAGAGCCAGCAAGCCCTAAGACTTCATGAGAGCCAGTAGGCTTTCCCATGGAGGGACCCACAGCACCGTGGGTGGTGGCTTGCGTGGCTGTACCAGATGGCAAGTTACTATCTCTCTAGCCTCACGTCAGGAGGACAGCAAAGGGGCCGCAGCTGTTACTTCTAAGGAACATCCGAAGGGCAGAATGTAAAGAGAACTGTGGCTTATCCAAGGATGGGTGACGATGCTTAGGTCAGACCTGCGGCCTGGTTCCAAGCCGCGTGCACGGCTACAGCTAGATGCTAGTAGTACATTTGTGATCACACACAGGCACACACTCACACGCACATTCTGAACAGGAGAGGACAATTTCATTCCAAAGGCAAGACGGGAGGGGAAAAAAGCCACTCAAGAATTTCAGTAATTCAATAATTTATTCCTCTAAAAAAGTGTAAAAGTATATAGCTCTCATCCACAAGGTATATATGAATGACATTTAAAATGGAGGCCTTTTATTATTGTTTCTTTTATCAAAGTCTTAGTGTACTGTACCAGCGCTGTACTGTAGTTTTTTTTTTTAAATGAACTTCACATGTTTTTGTATTCTCTCAAATTGTTTGCTGTATATAAAAGAAGCTCACTGCAAAATGCTGGAAGGAAAAAGGAAACAAAAGTAATTCAGAACTTCCCAGAAATGTACAGCTTTTACATTTTAAAAAGGTTCTGAAATATACATACAAGCATGCTGCACAATCCCACACCTCCCGCCCACCGCCCCTTTTAGTTCAAACCATGGTGAGAGTTCTGATTTCTGCAGAATTTCCAAAATTGAAAATAAAAAAAAATAAAATAACTTCTCACTCTGTAGCAAATCCAGGGCTTGTACATTTCAGATTAATTCAGTAAAAAACTCACAAGTAAAATAATGCATATTTAAGGGAAATATTATACAGACTTTTTTCACACAGAAGTACATAATAAGATTTTTTAAAATCTATTGCCATTCATTTATTTTTGCACAAAAACGTATAAATATGTCACCAGCTTTTCTTAACTTAAAAAACTTAAATAAGACACCAGATGAAAACTACCCTTTGCTGCCTCTTTTTTTTTTTTTAATTTTTGTAGGGTTTTCTGTTTTTTTGTGTTTTTTTTTTCCTGCTTAGAATTGCATTTCTAGAGAAGAAAAGCCCCTGCATTAAAAACAGCCCATTAAAAAAAAATTCAAAGTTATGATGAATTCTGGGAAAAAAAGCAACCCCAAAGTGGTAAAAGATTACAAATATCTACTTTACAGTTTGTCTTCTCCCATGATAATTTTATACAAGTTTACAATCTTCACCATCTTATGCTCTTCAAAAGGCCTTGAAATTTTCCTTTCTGATTAAGAAAAAATAGCACTGCAATATTTTTAAAGTCAATTTTACACTGTACACATTAGATACAAATGGTTTTGATATATCGGATTTTTTTAATCTATACATTGCGAAAGTCGCCCCTCCCCCCCTTCAATGGTGGTGCAGAGAGAACACAATTATCATTTACAAGTTGTTTCTCTGCGTTCACCTTCCCACCGCACAACCTTTTCAATATAATGTTTTAAACGTTAGATTATTTCAAGAAAAATACTTTTACAAAATCATATCAATTATTACACTTTCCTCTTTTGTTAATAAGCAGGACATAGAAGTCTCTTGGAAGAACGTTTACAATCTGCATGACTCCACAGTGGGCAAGAGCTCAGTGCCGGGTGGGCCTGGGAGGGATCCAGCCGCCGGCTGCCCGCTGCCCACAGCCGGGCAGAGACAGCGTGGCAAACCCAACCCTCCGGGCCTGGCGTGAGGAATCACACAATACTTCAATTAGCCAGTAATGCTTTAAAAAGGCATTTTTATAAAAGTCCCACCATGAAGGCTCAACTTCAAGTACTAATTGTAACGGTTAAGTTGTAATATTTCTTTGAAATAATATTCCTATGGTCCAGAAAAAGTTCACCATATTTGTAACTGATTTTATTAGCAAACACCTTGGATTGTGGTATGCACAAGTCCCTGTGATCTAATGGGAGGAGAGACCTGGCTTTCGGTAAGAATTCTCTAGAAAAGACATTTCCATGTGACTGTATGTATATAAAGCTGATTGAAGTAATTGCCTCCTCGGCTCTGGGTTGAGCTTGATCACCCTGGGTATAAAAGTGTCACCCTTACAAAAGGCTGGCCACGTGGCACGGCACAGCTTTGAAAACCCAGTTTGTCCTTAACAAAACTTGCACTGGTGGCTGCGGCACTGTCACTTCCCACATGATCGCCGATTTGCCGCCACTCCTTTTCTGGCTTCTGGGACAGAGGTATGTAGTCAGAGAACCCTACCGTGGATCTTAGATGGGTTTCAGCTACTGTACCTGGTCCTCAAGAATTAAAAAAAATCCAATGAAAATCACAAAAAAGGACAAAACAAAATAAATAAACAAGACGAAGCTGTCCGCAGACCTTTCGTATGTACACGCACAGGTATGAGAGCAACCTAAGCACTGGCGCCATCGGGATGGGGGCGTGATGGGGAGCGAACCCAGTGCTGAGTCGCGTACTGGAGGTGGCGCAGGGCTTTAAGAATCCCAGGTATGGAGTTCAGGTAACCCACAGGCCACACACCAACAGCTAGAGGACTTCGTCCAAAGGGCTGGACAGAGGCTGAGAACAGACTCTTGTGCAAAAGGACACTGCCTCCTCTTCTGTTTTCCTCTTCAAAGCCACCAACAGCCACCGCTGCCCGTGGGCTGCACACCACATGCTCGCTAAAAGCCACTGCTTATGGAAATTTCCAGGTCCATGTGAGACGTATCAAGGAGTCACTGTGGCAATGAACACTGCAGAACGGACCGGGCCTGCGGACCAGGCCTGCTGAGGCGCGTCACAGCGCAGGACTGTGGAGAGTGGTCAGGAGAAAAGGGTGCGGCCCTTGCACAGTGCCGCAGTTCCTCAGAGTGAGGCGAGGAGAGAAGGGACTGAGCCAGAGAGAGAGAACAAGTGCTTTCCATTAAAGTATATTCATGATGGCGTTGTACAACTGAGTGAGCACCACGAAGTGGACGGGAAGGCAGGAAGTACGGTCCTGGGTGGCCGGATTGCACGTGAGCCAGGACAGCGCGTTGTACTGCTCCAACACAAACCTGCCAGAGAGCACACAGATGAGCGTGTGTGCGCACAGGGGCACCATGCACATGGTGGCAGGCAGAGGCCCAGCTCTGCCTCCATCCTTGAGGAACGCTCTGATCTCTATGGTAGCTACTGAACTGTAAGATGAGGTGAGTGACTGGTGTTAAATGATTGGATTGTCTAAGGCAAACATCATGTCTGAGAAGTATTTCACAAATATGCTGAAAGATGTGGTGAGCAAATAGCACATTTTAACACAGCGTCACCAAAGACAAACTTCATGACTTTGTTTCTGCCATTTTATTGTGGCTACAAGAAACTTTTTCTCTGCAAGTCAGAGTCTTGCCTTGTAGCACAGGCTGGCTTCAAACTTGAGATCCTCTTATCTCAGGCTCCTGACTGCTGAGATTACAGGCCTTTGTCACTATGCCCAACTCAAAAATTTTTAGTTAGGGGCTGGGATAGTGGCTCAGTGGTAGAGCGCTTGCCTTGCATGCCTGAGGCCCTGGGTTCGATTCCTCAGCACCACATAAGCAAAAAGGAAAAAGCCGGAAGTGGCGCTGGGGCTCAAGTGGTAGAGCGCTAGCCTTGAGCTGAAGAGCTGAGGGACAGCGCCCAGGCCCAGAGTTCAGGCCCCACAACTGGACCCAAAAAAAAAAAAAAATTTTTTTTTAGTTAGACATGAGGCTCAGCATAGTACCCTTTTGTTAAGACAGGTCCCAGAAGCCAAATTTAAGTTGCTTGGGGTTTTGTTTCATTGAAAAGAGAATTTTCTCAAGAATAGAAAGACTTCTTTATGGCCGGCTCAAGACAGTGCAGGATAATGAATTCCCAAGTGCAGAATTCATGTTCCAATGGGATTAATTATGTCATCTCTGACGAGTGTTGATGGAAGCCAAGCACCGCAGTTTCCAGTCACCTCACTGCCTCACCCACCCCGTCCTAACCACCGCAGCACCGCAAACACCACTCTGAACAGGCAGGCGGGCAGGCACCTGCAGGACCGAGCAGTGTGGCCCACCCCACACCGGCCGGGGGACGGAGGTCCTGCACTTGACCAGACACCCCAGCTCTGCCCCAGCAGCTGCCTCTCCTCCACTGCACCACCTTATTCAAGACACTGTAAAACCCCTGCACAAGGGTAGTTCCAATGGACTGCTGTGGATCTACCTTAAAACATCAGAGGTTGTCTTGGAGTCCAGAGGGTGAGGGACCCGCTGCGAGTTCCTGACAGGGAGAAGTTCGTCCGTCTGTGCTACAGAGATGTGGTGATGGAGTGATGCCTGGGGAAAGAACAAAGACCATTAGCCTCCAATGCCGAGAAGCAACCACCTGGCAGAGGAGTAGAGGACAGGGCCCATGCAGCGGGGAGCAAGTCCAGGAGAGCACAGCCCCATAGCCAGCCCTGACTTGTAGCCCTAATCATTGAATATACAGAAAAAATAGTTCCATGTACCCACTCTCCAAGCCAAACTATCACCACTATTTGTTGAGTAGTTAGTTTATCTTTGTGGATTATTTTTAAACAAAAACCATTATCATGAATAATATTACAAATGTAAAGACTTGTAAATAAAGACCTTTAAAAGCTGTGACAGATATCATGCACAATAAAAAACTCATAATGATTCCTTAATATCATTGGCAAGTAATCTATTAATAATTTTTCCTGATAATTTCCAAGTCCCCCTGAAGTTGCGAGGTAGCCTGGCCATGTGCTGCATGAGGATGGAGTCTGCAGACGCAGTCCAGACACGGCGCGTCCTACTGGTGCTTCTTGCCGTGCAGGCCCATGTGCGTAATTCACATCTATGCATCACAGACACACACAGAACAGTTCTGGTGCTGGGTAGCTAGTGCCCTACTGTATGGGTGCACACAGACCAATCAGCCGCTTGTTGATGGACATTTAAGGGTCATTCTAGTCAAACTTCACAGAGGTCATTTTTGGGGGAAGTGGTTATTTGAGTTGGGGGTTCTTGCTGTACTACCAAGGCTGGTCTTGAACCTGAACTCTTTAAAGATTCTGGTAACCTCTGTGCCTCAGTCTCCTGAACACTGGGGTTAGACATGTATACATCGTTTCTTAGGAAGGCCTGCTGATCCAGGGACACATGCAGGCTGCTTGCACTCAGCACTGCCCACCCCCCACCACACCAGGCCCCTCCCCTGCTCTGCCACCAGAACATCAGGTCCAACCTTTCTCTGCCAAACGGTACATGACACACACTTAGATGGAATACACTGTAAGCTACCTCACACAATCTGTAGGACAGAAATTCGTGTTTTTAACCCTTAAAATCTGAATTTAAAGGTTCCAAGAAATAAACCCAAGTGTGAATGTGAGATCTGTGTGTGGAGTGTAAACTCAGGGCCTCATGCTTATTAGGCAAGTGCTCTACTACTTGAGTTCTATCTCCAGCCCATTTTAACTTTCAGATAAGGTCTAATCCTTTTTGTTCAGGCTGGCAAAGAGTTCCCTGTACCTCTCACTTAGCTAGGATTATAAGCATGCACCACTTTAACCAGCTGTAATATGTGTGATTTTTTTTTTTTTGGTCGGTCATGGGGCTTGAACTCTGGGCCTGGGGGCTGTCCCTCAGCTCTTCAGCTCAAGGTGAGCACTCTACCACTTGAGCTACAGCGCCACTTCCGGTTTTCTGGTGGTTTATTGGAGATAGGCGTCTCACAGTCTTTCCTACCCAGGCTAGCTTTGAACCGTGATCCTCAGATCTCATCCTCCTGAGTAGCTAGGATTACAGGCGTGAGCCACCAGCGCCCGGTAATATGTGCGATTTTTAACCACTCTCACCTTCTCTAAGGAAGTGTGTTGACACACCAGGGCAGGGGAAAAGGATACCTAGTTACCGATAGGTTCCACTCACGTTTCACAAATTTCAACTATGACACTACACCAACCTTTAGGAAGAGAGGGCACTGGTTCTGTGCCTGCGGACATGATGACCAAAACCACTGGGGCAACTTCTCAGCTTTGGCAGTTGATACAAAGTACCCAAGGGCCAAAGGCTGCTGCTTGAGCTCCTCTGGAGCCTCTCTAGAGAGCAGCCGCTCACCCTGGCTCTGAAAAACAAGAACCAAAGCATAGTCAGCACATAGTAGCAGATACCAACCCCTGCCTGGCACAAAAGCCCCAGGGGCCTGAGAAAGGTAAACTGGAAAGGCCCTGTCTCTGCAGCACATGGGACAGTGGAGAGAACTAGAGCTCCACACCTGTGAGGCCAGAATCGTCCCAGCTACTTTACAATGTAAAGGCAGGTGGACAAACTGTGGCAACAGAGTAGTGCACCAACTGTCCACCACCCCTTGACCTTAAGCAGGAATTACCAAGAGGCTACTTGTCTGCACATGGCGCTGATCTTAAGAGCTGCTCAGGGCGTAGCTGGTAATGTGCACAATGCCCTTAAGAGAGTCTCTTATCTATCTTATAATCTGCAACTCAACACTTTCCTCAGTAATTTCTTTGTTTTTAAAAACTCTGCATTTGGAGGGAGAAAAATCATCCTCAATTGTACCCGTTATACCAATTCCAAGTAGGTTAATAAAATCTTGCTGTACCTCGAGAATACCATTTCTCCTTAAAAAAAAAAAAAAAAAAATTCCAGTCCTGGGCCTTGAACTCAGGGCCTGGACACTGTCCCTGAGCTTTCGTGCTCAAGAATTGTACTTTACCACTTTGAGCCACAGTTCCACTTCTAGCGTGGTGTGTGCGTGGGGGAGGGAGGGGTTAACTGGAAATAAAGAGTCTCACTGGCATTATTGCCTGGGCTGGTTTCAAATTGTGATCTTCAGTCTCCCGAGTAGCTAGAATTACAGGCATGACCCACCAGCACCCCACCTCTTTCACCTTTTCTAATGTCTTAATTGGATATTAAAGAATAATTAAGGAAAAGCTCAAAAAGCTTTTTGGCCACTTGGTTGCAGGTACGCAGGATGAAAGGCCAGCTGACCAGTGCTGTTTAACTGTGAGAGTCAGTCAAAAGCTTGAGGGGCTGAGGCTCCCACAAAGGGAGGAAATGCAGCATGCCTATTTCTTATAAAACTACTAATACAGGGCTGGGAAGGTGGCTCAATGGTAGAACACTTGCCTTGCATGCCTGAGGCCCTGGGTTCGATTCCTCAGTACCACATAAGCAAAAAGAAAAAAGCCGGAGGTGGCACTGTGGCTCAAGTGGTAGAGCGCTAGCCTTGAGCTGAAGAGCTGAGGGACAGCGCCCAGGCCCAGAGTTCAGGCCCCACGACCGGACCCAAAAAAAAAACAAAAAAACAAACAACTACTAATACAATGCAATATGCCAGTCTCTTGTAAAACGAATAGTATATTTCAATGAGCAATAATGTTGTGTTAAGAGAACAATGAGTTATAGCAACAGGGACTGTTATTTCTACTTCGCAGAGAGTAATGAGGGCTGTCTGGGGTCCTAAGGGCAGCATACAGACCAGCACAAGGCAGCTGTAGGCACAGACGCAGGGACAGTCTTAGCAGCTATGCCATTCTCCTCCACAGAAGTCCTGGCAGAAGTCCTACTGTAAAATGATCCACTATACAACTTGTGCTTTTGGTTCCAGTGAATAATCAATTGTCCTTACCTGGCTACAACTATAAAAGAAATGCATCTAAAATCTCCTCCTCACAGAAGACAGCAGTGGGAGCAGGCAGAAGGATGGGGGTGGAGTAAGTTCCTCAGCCACACTTTTACTCACTCTGTGACTAAGTTAACCTTTAAATGTGCTTTCTTTAGATTGTCCTGTAATGAACTCAGTGCTGGTAATACAAGTCCCACAGGACAGAAATCTATGGTCATGTCTATGCTTGTGTCTAAAGAAATGTAGTTACTTATATGCAATCAGTCTAAGACACTACACATATATGTACTTTTCTATGACTTGACCCCATAATCTCAAAGCACTGTTAATAAAATGCACAATATAGTGAGGAGGCGTGAATCACCTCGCTGTGAGGCCAGGCTAACATGTACTGTGGCAGAACTGTTCGACAGTTAAATCTCCACTAATCCCCTGCCAAGATCCCTGGTATACTTGTTGATTAAACTAGCTGTGAGTGCTGGATTTTCCCTTAATACTCTGGCATGAAACTGGACATTTTTATAAAATCCACCTCCTGATGACTCTTGATACTCCTGCAGTTTGGCTCCAGACAAGACTGGGATTGTGTAAGCAAAGGTTCCCAATGCTGGGAGGACTCAGTCAGACTCCCTGCCAAATAAGCCATATGTCCACAACTAAGTTCTGTACATGAAGCATACGTAGGGCTACTGGACTAGATGCTAAAAACCAGTAAAGGAAAACAAAATAACTTGGAAGTATCAAGCAACCAGAAAATGGTTTTACAAAAAAAAAAAAAAATCTCATAAAACTTTTTTTTTTTTTTTGGGGGGGGGGGGGGGGGGGTGGTCCAGTCGTGGGGCCTGAACTCTGGGCCTGGGCACTGTCCCTCAGCTCTTCAGCTCAAGGCTAGCGCTCTACCACTTGAGCCACAGCGCCACTTCTGGCTTTTTTCTTTTCTTTTCTTTTTTTTTTTTGCTTATATGGTGCTGAGGAATCGAACCCAGGGCCTCAGGCATGCAAGGCAAGTGCTCTACCACTGAGCCACCTTCCCAGCCCCTCACAAAACTCTTGATTTAGATCTCCAGAGCATAAAGGAAGAGAATAAAAATCTGTCTAAGCCTGTGCTACTTACTAGCTACTCAGGAGGCTGGGATCACAGTCTGAAGCCAGCCCAGGCAGAAAAGTCTCTGAGAATCTTTTCTTTTCTTTTTTTCTTTTTTTTGGCAGTTGTGGGGCCTGAACGCTGTCCCTGAGCTCTTCAGCTCAACGCTAGCACTCTACCACTTGAGCCACAGTGCCACTTCTGGCTTTTTCTGCTTATGTGGTGCTGAGGAATCGAATCCAGGGCAAGCACTCTGCCTCTGAGCCACCTTCCCAGCCCCATTTCTGAGAATCTTATCTCCAATTAAACAGCAAAAGCCAAGCTCATGTGGTAGAGTGCTAACCATGAGTGAAAAAAATTCAGAGTTTCCAGATCCTGAGTTCAAATCCCATGTACACACACACACACACACACACACACACAATCTCATGTCTATAGTAAAATTATTCAAGACAGATAAATGAACAAATAACACATTTCTTCTGAAGGGCTGCCTTTTATGCACAATGAAGTGGAACACCATGTCCCCACAGCAGCTCTGTAAGCCCTGGACACAAGGAAGATGGTACACTCAAGAAAGGATTATTCTCCCAAGGGCTGTACTGTCCTTACCCGACTGTGCTGGAAGTGAGAGCCCACACCAATTCCAGAGGGAGAGCCCGGGGAGGGTGCCGGGGAGGAGTTGGGGGAGGAGTGGAGATTCCCAGTTATTAATATGCCAATATCATTGTCCATATCGTCTGGGAATGGAAGGTCCACAAACATATCATCTAGAAGGGAGGGGGAAAATATCAGAATTAAAAAGAGAATCTACAGGTCTACCCTCACCAATACCACGCTCTGCTACAGACATGGCCTGACTACTTAAAAAATGTCAAACAGCTAAAGAACAACTGAACAACTGGACTATTACACACATTTCAAGCTGGCAGCATCTGAGAACAAAGTAGACTCATTCTCACAATGTGAACCTGCCCCAACAGTAAAGGAAGCCCATGCCAGAGCAGGGCAAACACAATGCACACCTTCAAAACTTCTCCCCCAGACTTCTACCATAGGGCACATTCACCGCAGAAGAATTTGGAAAGAAAAGTGACAAAACTGAAAAACCCACAACTCACTCACCATCAACATTTTTAATATGTTTTCTTTTTGTATCCTATATTTCTGTATTATATATAAAATTTGGTATTATTTTTTCCTCCCTGTTTAACATTAGTAAATGCCAGTACCTACTGAAAATTCTTCAAAAACAATGCAAATAGGTGAATAAAATGGAATATTTTACTGTTTGATTCCTTTGGAATCAAATAAAAATTATTTGATTATAGCACGCTAGAATCCCAAGTATTCATTCACACATTCAAATCCGATCAATAAGCCAGGCGCTGGTGCTCACGCCTGTAATGCTAGCTACTCAGCAGGCTGAGATCTGAGGATCACAGTTCAAAGCCAGCCTAGGCAGGAAAGGCTGTGAGACTCTTATCTCCAATAAGCCACCAGAAAACCAGAAGTGGTGCTGTGCTCAAGTGGTAGAGCACTAGCCTTGATGAAGAGCTGAGGGACAGTGCTCAGGCCTAGAGTTCAAGCCCCATGCCTGACAGAAAACAAAAAAGAAAAGAGAAAAAAAAAATCTCCATATGATCTTTGCTGGGTACCAGTGGGCTCATGCCTGTCATCCTAGCTACTCAGGAGGCTGAGATCTGAGGATTGCAGTTCAAAGCCAGCCTGGGCAGGAAAGTCTGTGAGAGTCATCTCTTGTAAACTACCAGAAAAAACTGGAATTGGTGCTATGGTTCAAGTGGTAGAGTGCTAGCCTTGAGCTGAAGAGCTGAGGGACAGTGCCCAGGCCCAAAGTTCAAGTCCCACAACGGACCAAAAAAAAAAAAAAAAAAAAAAGAAAAAGAAAAAGAAAAATCAGATCAACAAATTTACTCAAAGTGACACTCCGGCAAGACTCTATCAAGCAATCAATCATTACTTTTGCCTTTAATGAAAATAGAGGAATGTTAATCCTTGGGGCTTGGTAACTGTAATGGGAAATCTTGATTGCCAACCTGACTGAGAAGCTTCTAGGAGATCAGCAAAGCACACTGGGTGGAAGGGCATTTCCAGAAGGATTGGGGCAGGGGCGGGATAAGTACCCACTCGGAATGTGGATAATCGCATCAAGAAGCTCAGAACCCAAATGGAGAGGGAGGGACAGGGCAAAGGAGACAGGGATGAGAGAGAAGCCCACCCCAGCCCAAGGGTTCTCTTTCTTCTTCCTAGCCACCATGATATGAGCTTCTCTGCCTTGCCTACCCCACTCCACCATGACAGACTGAAACCTCTAAAACATGAGCTAAAGTAACTCTTTCCTCCCTTAAGTTGTTCTTCTTAAGTACTTTGTTGTAGTGAGGAAAAGGAAGTAACAGAGTTATAGTGGAGACTACTTGAGGCTTTCAAACCCCCACGATTCTCAGATCTCCGCCCCTCCTCATGGCTCATGTGTCATTACAACCCATGCCCCATGCTCTCCCTGTGTGTCCTGCTCAGGAAGTGTCCTCATGAAGGTCCTCTACTCACCGTTGTTGGGGCTGAACCCATCTTCATTGGGATAGTTGGCTGGAGCTACCTGGATGGTTGATGATGTGGGAAACACCAGTATGTGTGTACAAGAAGCATCTTGAGGGGTGTTCAGCTGAGAGGACTGCATGTTCAGTGCAGTGCTTCGGCCAAACACCGAGCCCATGGTGACAGCATCTTTAAGGACAAAACCTCCGTCAGCTGCTCTGATTCAACAGGGACCAGCTCAAGAACAAAGTTTCCAGACAGACTGAATGGGAGTGGTCTGCACCTAATGCACTTCAAACTGTCCCAACTGCTTAAATACATTCAGGGACCCTGCCGCAGGCATACAGCATGAGAATCTAAACTCAGACTGGAAATGTTAAGTCATACTTGAATTCCACTCACCAAGTATTTTTTAAAATTACTTAAGCATTCCTCCTCCTTACTCATGCCATTTTACTCGCACCGGGGCCATTTTTAAGACCTTCATCTTCAAACATTCAACAGGCCACCTGTGTAGTGTGCAGTCCAAAGAGCCCTAGACCAGAGAGTCTAGCTCACACCACAACTCCACTCACTTCTCACAGGGAGTGTGGATAGAGAACAAAGATGTACTGTTATCTGGATGGTAAGAACATATTTTAAAAGTATAAAGTTTAGCTATATATCTTAGCTGCTGTTCATCAAAAGCCAGACAGAATTTACAAACTTTCCACAACTCTGTATGCTGGTTATGCACTACTAAGAGACTCCTATGTGCCAGGCCTGCTGCTGAATGGCTCTCTCTCCTTTGCTCCAGCCCTTATCCTCATTAGAGAGGCTAGACATATCCTTTAGGGCTGCTTGTAAAGCTGGACAATATCTATCTCCAAAACAAAGTTCAAATATGAAAGGGAGTTAGAGGGAGGAAAGGGGGTGGGAGGGAGGGAAGGAAGAAGGGAGGGAAGGAAGAAGGGAAGGAAGAAAGGAGGAAAGGAAACAGAAGGAGGGAGGGAGGGAGGGAGGGAGGGAGGGAGGGAGGGAGGAAGGAAGGAAGGAAGGAAGGAAGGAAGGAAGGAAGGAAGGAAGGAAGAAAGGAAGGAAGGAAGGAAGGAAATCGCAAATCATTCCCACTGAAGAAATCAAATGATTCCCACTTTATAGATCAAAATTCAATCTTCTCTTACAAAGAGACAATAACAACGCACTCCACCCATGTCTCTAGTAGTGAAGCTGATGAGAGGTTTACCTGGCATCACTACAAAGGACCCCTGGGGCTCCATGGCCACCAGGCAGGCACTGAGGATAGAAGGAGAGTCTGCAGCAGAGATCCCACACATTCGGCACACGTCCTTGAGCTGTTTGCTGATTGTCTGTAGTGAACATTCTCCAAGGAGGATACTCCAATCTGAAGTCAGATAACACAGATACAATCTTTAGAACTCATACTGATGTGATTGGACCCTAAAGGGAAATGGATCCCCATATTCTCTCCTCACTATAAAGAAAGTGATCCTTGAGTTCTACACCCCTTATTAACACAGAAACAGAGCTTTACTATCCTGTGCAGATTGTCTTCCAGAGGCCAGCACCGACATTGGTAGATGAAGGCATTGAAATTGCCAATAAGCCAATGTCACTCCTGGCCTTTCTCCTTCTTGGCCTTATTCTCTCACTCTCCCTTTGCTGTGCCCAACACTTTTCTTTGGATGAAAGCACATTTAGAGGAACTTCCATTCTGTTTATTGCTGGAGGGGATTTACTTCCACAAGAGGCAAGCAGTAGCAGAAATGTAGGAACCGGTTCTTCCAGTGTCCAAAGAACAAGAGGTAAGCCATACCCAGGTTCACACTGAGAGCTGGCCATATTTGCCTTTCTAACACTCATTCGCTGTCTCCAAACAGAAACACTAGATTAAATCTGAGCATTGAGGAAGGATAGTACTTTGGGAAGAGAAGAGCTCTTGTTAACTCTTTTAACCTGTCTGACCCCAAGGTATGCACTGTCTTATGCAGCAAGCTGCTGTCCTGTCACAGTGCACTGATCAAATGCCACTCTACTGGCACATGGTTTGTCAAACAAGCTGTTTCTTTCCCTTAGGAGCAAGGGAAACATTTTCAGATTCCAAATGAACCTCAAACTAAAGTGAGTTAAATAAAAAGTGGCCAGAAACATGATGGATATATATTTTTAAATTGAAAAAAAAAAAAAGATATGAGTGACCTATCTCAAAACCAACCGAGGGAGCCATCTCGACACCAGTACCCTGGACAAAGAGCTGAAATTCAGAAGCTGCTTCCCAAGCCTAACGGCTTGTATCTGCCCTGCCCTGCAGACCTGCAAGGTCTCCCATCTCCACACTCACTCCCCTCTTCTGTAGGAGAGATAAGGAGGGATGGGGCCCTTCCTGTTGGCATACTTGGTGCTAGACACTAGACTACATCCCTCCTCCTTTTCTTTCTTATTACACTCTGACCATCCCCTCTCCCTCCCATGGGTTAGAAATAGCTCAAAACCTTTAAAAAAGAAGACTGGCTAAAAAGTAGACTAGGGAGAAAGACAGGAAATCTCACAGAATGAAGTGATGAATCCCCTAATGTGTTAACCTCCAGGCTGCTGATACAAAATGTTAAATGTGACATTTCTGAAAAAAACCTCTGTGTAGAGCAGAAGCTTAAAGAAACTTTTACCTCAAACCTGTGATATAATACTTCTAGAAAATGGCATGGAGACCTCACCTGCACTGCCAAAAGGGAGGTACTCGGCATGCAAGCAGAGCCTACAGGGGTTTTGTTTCAGGGTCTCCACAAACTTCTGATGACAATTTCCAGTAAAGATATAATCCCATACCCTAACACAAACCAAATCCTGCCCACTAAGTGTTTGTATAAAGTTTTATTAACAAAGCTGTTCTTATAGTTGCCTTGACATTGCCAAACAGAGTCAAGTAGCTGCAGTGGTGACCATCTGGCTTGCAAAGGGAGAACTGTTTATTCTCTGGTCCGTGACAAACTTTGCTGACGTTAATGTCTATGCATGCAGGAAGTTCGAAAAGTAATTTGTGACATAAGCTTTATTTTGAACAGACCTTAGAAACTTCCTACGTGTGTGTGTGAGTGTGTGTGTGTGTGTGTGTGTGCGTGTAATTAATAAGGCTCTAATTGTATTCCTATTACTCATGTGGAAACTGTGAAGTAGCTACATGAGGCCAGTAGCTGGGCTGGGCATTGTGCCAGGCACAGCAGCTGGTGGTGGTCAGTACTTTCCAAGCTTCTTGGCTGATCATTATGTTTGCAAGAAATTGAAGCAGTGGCAGATATACTTGGAGATACAAGTTAAAACTCTATTCTTTCATGCCTCCACATTGAAAAGTAACTGGCAATGTCTTACATCTAACCGCTTGTCCTTATGAATAAGGAGTAAGATTGTTTTGCTATTGTGGTACCAAATTAGAGAAATTCAAAACTCATCACCAATGATCAAACAAGTACAATTTCTATTACCTCTATCTCTATTATACACACACACACACACACACACACACACACACACACACAATGTATCTATTAATATACACATACAATATATGTATTAGTGTTTGAAATTTACTGAATATCACTTTTATACTGAATATCACTTTTATTAAAAGTGTTTTATTAAACACTTTTTTTGTTTTGTATTTAAAATTTGTTTGGGAAATGGATTTTGTTGCTCAAGAAAAAACTACGGTTTATTCTGTATCTACAGAACACAATCAGAAAGCATCTGCTTCAGTCTTATTACCAAGTTTAACACTTTTCCCTGCTTTGCTCAGCCAATGACATTACTCATCCTTTTTTTTCCTCTGCTTCTTGCAAACACTGCTTCAAGATTTCTCACCTTTAAGCTCCCCGTGGCCGAGCCGACCAAGACGCCCGATGACAACTCTCCAGGGCAAAGATGTCATTTGGACAATCCCAATACACCACTCCCATAACTTTTGCAGTCCAATTTTCCGGGCAGACACTTTACTCTTCCGTGACCTAATGAGAAGAAGTAGGGAAGGAGTCCCTCCATGAATCACAGCCACTACTCACTCAGTGAGGCAAAAAACATTCAAAGAGCATGCACGTGCATGCGTCTCCATTGCATTTAGATAGAAGAGTTACAGAGTCCCATGTGGAGGAAAGGGCAGCATCAGTTTACACACACCACAAGCATCAAGGGCCTCTCACCTGTTTGGTAAAGCAATATTTACAATGCAGGTCTCTAATAACTCCCCATGGAGGTCAGTGCAGGAAGCCAATAGCCAGCGCTGGTCATGAGACAGACAGTAGCCCACAAAGAGCACATTGTATTTCTGGCTTGCTTCTCCAAGGGTCTCTCCTTGCTCCGTCTGCTTCTCTTTGATTGGGGCCAATATAAAGGGAGGGGAGTAAAGCTGGATTGGGCTGGGCCGCTGAAATCAAAATGAAAAGCAAAATCCACACAAAGCATTCAACTTAGTGTTTATAATACAACCTAAAACAACACTGAGGGGAACCAACAGGGTGAGATTAAAAAAGCAGGCTCCAACCCTGTCCATTCCCTCACCCCCACCCCATGTTTATATAAACACTAGTGACAAGCACAGTCAACAAAAACATGGTTTAGGGCTGGGAACACTGGCTCTCCTCTGTCGTCCCAGCTATTCTGGAGGCAGGGCCTGGGAGGAGGACCCAGCTTTAAAAATAAAAGCTAAGTGTTGGGCTGGGAATGTGGGTTAGTGGTAGAATGCTTGCCTAATATGCATGAAGCTCTGGGTTCAACTCCTCAGTACCACAAACAGAAAAGACCAGAAGTGGGGTTATAGCTCAAGTGGTTAGAGTGCTAGCACAAAAGAAGCTCAGGGACAGTGGCCGAGCCCTGAGTTCAAGCCCCAAAACTAGCCCCCCCCCCCACCCCCCGCAAAAAAAAGTTAGTGAAACCTTCATCTCAAACCAATATAATGTGCAAGGTAGCTAACACCTTTGATCCCAACAATGCAGAAGACCCCAAGTAGGAAGACTGTACTGATGCCAGAACTCAAGACGCCACCAGAAAAATAACTAAAATAAAAAAGGGGCTAAAGGGCATGGCTCAAGTGGTACAGCAACTAGTAAATACAAGGCCCTGAGTTTCAAGCTCCAGTACATCTAAATAAAATAAAAAAAACGTAACTGATACAACTAGGAAACTCAATGAACCCAATGTTTGTTTATTAAAACTTACTATTTTAGAAAAGGTAAACTGGTTTTGGCCAATTTCATTAGACATTAGAAAAGCAGAAACTGAAGCCATTATGGAATAACACTATAAATATCTATCAGAATATGTAAAATAACAATAGCAGAAAATCTAATCGGTAACACTGTGGTGTAATATCTTTGGAAGAATATTTGACAATATTTGCTTAATCTGAACACATACTAATACACACACACACACACACACACACACACACACACACACACACACACACACACACACACACACACACACACACACACACACACACACACACACACACACACACACACACACACACACACACACACACACACCCTACAAATGCATACCTACATTTTCCCAAAAACATTTGCCAGTGTATTTATACTAGTACTAATCATAACAGCTCCAAGTTGAAAATAGCCTCCATTTTCATTAATAGTGAAGTGGACAGTACATTGTGATAGCCACACAATCTGAATGTTAAGCAATCAAATGGTGACTCACTACTGACATGAACAAGGTCATATTGATAGAAGTCTGGAAGGAACATTTTAGGGGTGTCTGGAGGCTGCCCACAGTTTTGTCAAAAAATAGGAAGTATGTTTAACACCAGGATAAATGTAGGTCATCAGCAGAGCAGCTTTCTTCCCTGGTATTAGAGTGAACCACAACCAGGCTCCCACAAACACAGTATCAACTATTTGCTTCACTTCTTACCTCCCAGCTTTTACTTAGGAAAGGGTAAGTGTTTTGTGCAGAGAAGCACATTGCCAATGATACTCTTCAGAAGCTAGTGTTTAAAAAAGGTCCCTTAAAGTGAAGAGTTGTGGATCTGATGTTGGAAAGCTTTGAAAACTGTAAACACTGTTCTGTGACACCTCTGTTGAAGAAAAGGTCATTAAAAATACAAGGAAAATGTAAAACTTTTGCTTAAGACATGATTTTAGATGGCATCAGCCATCTAAAATTCCCTCTGAGGTACATTCACTGTTGGAAGCAGGTCCACAAAGATGGAAGGGAAAAACACTCACATGTACGCAGTAGCACTGAGGGAATGGGCAAGCAGCACCAGGGAGAGCATGCATGAGAAACTGAAGTATGCAAAAAAGTGGTAAACATACAACACGACTCTGTCAAAATAGAAATCAGAGTGCAATGGGCAGAGTTTGCATTTTAGGATCCAAAAGTCCAGAAAAATAAAGAACAAAGTAAATGTAGGCTATTGCCTTAAATCCTACATCAGAAGAAAATAAGGAAGAGCTTACTTATTTTCTCAAAGTTTTAAAGAAGGACCTTCTCTATTTTGAAGATTAGAGAGACTTGCCAAGTCTTCTATAAGAGCAGAAGACTGACCAAGCCACCAACCAATCTGGGAGTTAGAAAAACACGTTCATGGTTTCCATTTTAGTGTTTTTGTTGTACAAGTACTCTTTTTATCAGGTTTCTGCCCTCCAGTGCTGACCTCTGGGTTCTTGAGGGTCATCTCAATGCTGGCTGCAGGCCCGAATCCTGTGAGGGACTTAATGTGGATCTGTGTGGGCAGCGGCCGCCTGCACTGGCAGTACACGGAAAATGCCATGGACTTCAAGTACTGGATGTAGACCACTTGCTCATCCTTCATTGTCTGCAGCATGTACTGGCAAGGCACAATCTAGAAACACAAACAATAATCATTTTAAACCCCTAGAAATGGAGATTGACAATGCCTTGTAAGACACCTGGAAAATAAAACGGCATGCAATTCTTGAGGTAAAAGAAAGCCTTAGCTTTAAAATATGCAACTGTCAAGTGGGCTGTCATTAAATCCTAATTGCTTCTATTGGTATAAAATTCAGTTCTAGTAATTCTCAGGTTACTGTTACTATGGCCTCAAAGTCGTAGAAGGTACATTTTACTACACTCTTTGTAGGCACAATGTATACATGGAGCATATAGGAATTACTATATAATCATTTCAAACACAGACTTCAAATAAAGAGAAACCAGCAATAATCTACTCTACTACTCTACTACTAATATTTCACTGAAGAGACAGCAAAACAAGACCAAGCTAACCAAGGCATCACTTTTCAGCTAAAATGTGACATCATCCTAGCTATAAAGCTAGCAAAGGTACAATAAAGGCTAGTTTGCTCATCCAGTGACAAAAGTAATGTACAGAAGTGTAATCTTTTTGGAAAGGAATATGGTGATATGTTTCAGTAGCTACATTCAAGAAGCCACTTTAGAAAACAATGTGACAAAAAGGAAGCACAGCATGTTTGCTCTGACTACTTTAGAGTAGTGCAAATGAACTGGCCACCTATACAGGAATGGTTATATATGGAAAATAGTCATTAAAAATGTTAATTATGAGAATTTTAAGTAAAATGACAAAATATTCATGAATAACATTAACTAGAAAAGACTAAAATTTATATTTAAATTACAATCCTGATCACATAAAAATGGAGAAAAGGGGCAGAAATACACCATAATGGAAATACGATGGTTGAATCTAAAAAGCCAAATTGTAAATGTATCTTTTTTCCTTTTAAACTTACATAGTCTCCCAATTAAAAAAAAAACTCATGTTGTTATGAATTTTGTAACAACAACTAATGTAAAGAATAATCTTGCAAAGATTAACCTGGAGAATGAAAGAGTTTCTCATATGCTCGGGTAAATTATCCAGCATTTCTGTATAGCAGCGCATCAAGCTCAACAGCCAAAAGTTTCCAGACGTGGAGTCTTCCTCTGCAGTGTAGGTGAACGGGTCCACCATGTAAATGACGACAGCTGGAGGGTAGGCTTGACTGTCTGCAGAGTCGGGCTCCGTGGGAATTCCGATTCTCTCCCTTTCGGTAACACTGCACAGAGAGTCATTTGTAAGGTGGACAAAGTAAGTGTCAATGCCATAGAACAAATCAGTCCTAGAGCAAGCTGACTGCCAGGACAATGACTCCAGATTTAAATGGGACAGGATGGGCCACACAAACCAAGCTAGCCAGCATCTAGGCCAGATGGGAAATAACAATATACATCCAGCATTCCTAATTAAAAAACCTGACATAAAGCACAAAAATTTTGGGTTTGGGATTTCAGGTTTTCAGATGAGGAATTCTCAATCAATAGGGCACATGCAAATATTCTAAAATTCAAAATTTGTCAAAATCTGAGATACTTCAGGTCCCAAGAATTTCAGAAGAGGGCATACTCAGCCTGCATAGTCCTCTAAAAAGGGAGATTTCTTTTTTCAACTCCTCTTTATTTTCTGTGGTGATACTGTACAAAGAGGTTATATACCAAGTTAACTATAAGTTAATATGCTTAATAGTAAGTTTGTCAGAATATGTTACAAGCCTCCAATTTCTTACTGCAGCTACAGATCGACAACTGTCATACTGGATCTAGAGATTTATGAGGTTGCAGGGGAGAGAGAGGTCCAATTAGAAGCCACTTCTCTGGCTCAATGAAGTAACATACCTGTCTTGTCCATCCTGGTAGGGCTGGGTAGAGCTCCCCTGCTCAGGGTCTACGCCACAGGCAATGTTCCCTTGTGTTCTATCGATAGAGCTACCCCCACTGCTGGGGTTCTGCCCTCCCATACCACCGCTGAAGCCTGAAGACGAGGTAGTGCTCATCTGGTTAATCCCAGGGGCGGAGGCAGCCGAGGAAACTGGAGGCCCAGAGGAGCCAGCTGAGGAAGTACTTGCTGCAGGGTTTGCGGAATTGCTGTTAGAGGTGGGATTGAATGCACTGCCAGCTGGGGGAGCTGCTGAGCCTGAGTTTGGAGCTAAAGGCCCAGCAGTCCCAGGAGTAGCTTGTCCCTGGGCTGCTGGCGGTGGAGGCTGGTACTTGGGTGGGGTCAACAGGCTGCTGTCGAGTTGCAGAGTAGCCAAGTAAGGTGCTGTAAGAATCCATGCAGACAACCACCATGAGAGAGCTCCGCAGTGTCAGAGAGAGTAGTCAGAAATTCAGATAAGCACCTTAAAAAATTATGCTTTCAGGACGCAACACTGATCATGACACCTTAGACTCGCCACCTGCATCGGCTTATATATTCTGCAAACACTGATGCACACAGGAAGCAACTATTATAAAACCTGTATGACAGCCAAGCACAGTGGCTCCCATCTGCAATTCTAGCTACCTGGGAGGCAGAGATGGGGAGGGTTGTGGTTTGAAGCCAGACTGAGTAAAAAGTTCATGGGCCTGCATTTTAACCAAGAGAAAGCTGAGTTATGACACGTACCTGTCATCCCAGCTATGCAGCTGCATTAAAACTAACCAAAGCAGCTGGGTCCAGTGGCCACTAGCCATTTGGAAAGCAAAAATCCAGAGATCACAGTTTTACACCAGCCCAAGGAAAAAGAAGTTCACAAAATGTCATCTCAGTGAATGGCTGTGTGCAGCAGAGGGCACCTGGTGGTGCCCTGTCTTCCCCAGAGATACCAAGAGGCACATGTTGGAGGTCCACAACCCAGGCCAGTTAGAGCAGAAAATAAGACCCTACCTCAAAAATAACCAATGCAAAAAAGGTCTGGAGGTGTGGCTCAACTGATAGAGCCTAGAAAGATCTAGGCCATGAGTTCAATTTCCAGGACCATCAATAATAATAAACAACAACAACAATAATAAAAATAATAACAGCAGCAATTACCAAAACAAAAAATGTGGTAGAGCACCTGTCTTTTCAAGAGTAGAGCCCTGGGTTCCAAGTCCAGTACTACCAAGTTAAAAGAAGCTTATCCAAAAAGAAACGGAAAATAATCACTTCTAGTATTTCCTTTCAGACTGATTCTATATACTTTTACTGAGAAATGAAAAACCATGTGTTTCACAGCCATCATGATGCCTTATGCTCCTATAGCTTCACGAGCTTAAGGTTTTCTCCCATGTGATGCTGAGGTTTGAAAATATGGTGTTAATAGATATAACCTCTTTAAAGCAACTTTATGCAAGTTTTTAAAGAACATATAGCCACATATAATTAGGATTTCACTACCTAGAACACCAAAAAGACCTAAGTATAAAAATGGAATCCTAACATAACTTGAAAGAAATACAATGCTGCAACCATAGGGAGGACAGGATTAACTGTGTTTACTCCCAAATTCTACTTTGTCCTTTACCTAGGTGATGGCGGCAAACTTGCGCATAAAGTTTGAGTCTGGAATGATTGTCATTCTCCTCGCCGCTCCAGGGCTGGTTAAACCACTCGCTCACAAGTTCATCTGCCAGCTTCTGGGCCACAGTCTTCCCCACACGCATGATTCCGTCGCGTAGCACTTTGCAGATGGGCTTGTGCTGCCCAAGCTTACACATCTGAGACCACAAAACAAGATGGTTACTGACCAGTGCCCCTCATTCCATTCTTGTTACCTTCTGCTGGCAAAAGTGTGCAGGCACTTCCCCATGTCAAGTTATCACATACAACCAAACCATTATCATCAGCTGCTCCTTTCTGGTTGTTATAATGTGCCCTAAAATTGCTGTCTTTACCTCCAAAATGTGGGCTCTAAGGAAAAGTGTTTCTTTGCCTAAGCACACTTCTGCATGACGGGACAATGTTGAGCACTACCTGGTTGCTAATGAGCAAATAAATACACCAGATTCCTGACTACTAAGGCTGATTGAGATGTTTGTTCACCAACACCTCCTCTATAATCCTTAAGTAATCATGTTTCCCCACACCATTAAAATTTTAGGGATCATCTATATGGTTAAAAACATTCTGGACATCACCAATAGCAGAGGTCACTGAAGCAGTAGACATGCTGATCACTTTTTTTTTTTGGGGGGGGGGGGGGAGCGGGGAGGAGTACATCATGGGGCTTGAACTCTGGGCCTAGGCACTTTCCCTAAGCTCTTCAGCTCAAGGCGAGCACTCTACCACTTGAGCCACAGTGCCACTTCTGGTTTTCTGGTGGTTTGTTAGAGATAAGAGTCTCATGGACTTTCCTGCCCAGGCTGGCTTTGAACTGTGATCCTCAGATCTCAGCCTCCTGAGTAGCTAGGATGACAGGCGTGAGCCACCAGCACCTGGCCTGATCACTTTTTAAAAAAGTAAATAGTTAATTGAGCACAGTAAGATTCTGCCCTTACTCTCCAGGATACTCACTGGGTGGTTATGGCAAAAAAATGAACAGAAGGAGCTGAGAAGGTGGCTCAGTGGTAGAGCGCTTACCTTGCATGCATGAGGCCCTGGGTTCAATTCCTCAGCATCACATAAGCAGAAAAAAAAAAAAAAAAAGCCGGAAGTGGTGCTATGGCTCAAGTGGTAGAGTGCAAGCCTTGAGCTGAAGAGCTGAGGGACAGCGCCCAGGCCCAGAGTTCAGACCCCATGACCAGACCCCACCCCCCAAAAAAATGAACAAAATACCCTGAAAAGTAAACTGCTTACATTAGTGTCCCTTAATAGAGGTGAGGAAGGGAAGGCTGACCCGGCCCTCAAGAAACCTCTTGAGAACTCTAATCCTAAGCAAGCGTGAATTACTGCCAAAAGAGTATCCCTAGTAAAGTCGTTAAGAACAATAGTGCTACTCCTTCTAAAAAGATCTAGAAATCCCTTATGCTTTGTAGCATATACTGAAGGCTCCATTCGAGATGATGATGTGCTTTAAAAGTTGCTGAGACAAGTTGTCTGTGATAGACTACTTGTGAACTAATAGTATGTTGCATCCAAAGACCAGGCAGTGCTAAGAAATGACTATACTGAGATTTGTATGGCTTAGCAGATGCCATTACATCACATCTGAGCACCTCCATTCTTTCAACTAACTCCTAAATTTACTTGGGTTCCACATTTACCCATACATTTATAAATAGGAATGTTCTGCTTAGGAATTTGAGATTCAGCATCTTAGTCAAGGACCACTTTTTAAATGCTTATGAGCTAGGCGTTGGTGGTTTATGCCTGTAATCCCAGTTACTCAGAAGGCTGAGGGTCATGGTTCAAAGCCAACCCAGGCAGGAAAGTCCATGAGACTCTTATCTCCAATAAACTATTAAAAAAAAAAGCCTTAAGTGGCTTTTTAAGTTATAGAACACTCATCTTGAGCAAAAGAAGCTATGGGACAGCACCCAGGCCCAGAGTTCAAAGTCCCAGAACTGGCAAAAAAAAAATAAAAATAAAATGCTTACAATGTGCCTGACACAGTTATAAACATTCAAACAGATATTAATTTCAATTAACCTTGCCAAATATGAAGATACTCAACATATAAGTCACAAAGAACCTCACAGTTTATGTACTTCAGCAAAGGAAATGTGACACTCTTTAAAGACAGACATGAATCTAACTTTTCAAAACTACCAGGAATTTATACACTTAAGATATGAGATATCTACATGGTGCTTATATTTGGCCATTGCTTTTTTTAATCTGAATCAAAATTTTTGTATTAAGATGAATTTAAGTAGTGTTAAACCACAATAGGTACATTATTCGTTGCACATTTTTAGCTCCAATTTTTTTTTAGCTAAACTATTTTTTATAACATTTTCAAGTACTTTTACCTATCTACCTACTCCCCAAAATAAATCAAAAGAGCAGGTATGCTTTTCGTAAAGCTCTTAGACAGAGACCTCTCTCCTGCAGTAGTACTACTTATAAACTCTGAGCTCAGAATGGGAAAACAGGGTGGAATTTTCAGCCATGTAAGTCTAGTGCAGGAATGTCTTCTTTGTCTAATAAAATGCAAACCTACAGGAATAAAACAATTCATTTCCAGAAAAAAAATCTCTTAAAGTGAACTCTTTCACCTCCATTCGTGGTGTCCTTAGAGACCTAGCTTCAACAGACAAGCTTGCACTTTCAAACAGTCGAGTCAGGAGAACAGGGGTGCCCTCATAAAAAGGTTGCTCTCACCTCGTACACAGCACTCAAGTCCCTGAAGAAAGTTTTGGCTCCTTCGAGCAAGGCCTCATTTTCGGGACACACCACAATATAGGCAACATCGCGGCGGCCCCCGTACGGGTCCAGCAGCAGCCTCTCCCAGAAGGGCAAGGAGAACGGAGAGACGGTCAGGAAGTCCTTGTCATAGCCCACTAGCAGAGTGGGGATGGGCAGCGGCTCCGGGGACTCCTCTGAGCCTAAAACAGCAGCAACATTAGGAAGGCGCCTCACAGCCTGCTGCCCACAACCAAGGCCCGCACGGCCCCTGGCGTACCACTCCTGATCCTGCCATGTGAAATGTCACAGCCTACTGATACCACACTCTGCAAAGGATTTCCCAGATGATCTAATTACACAGTCCCTAGTGAAGACCCCTAATTAAACGAGTCAGAATTCACTTGTAAAGGTTCCAGAAGATAAGGCAAACTGAAACACAGGGAAGTTAACTTTCCAAGTGGCACTAACTACATTGCATTTCAGAGCAGTATTCTGATGGTGACTACAGAGACATCAATCAGAGAACTGAGGACAGGAAAGATGAGAGTCTAACTCTTCACACAGTTATGCCTGTCAAAGATGATTTTCCTGTCTCACTTGGATTATCCCAAGAATGCTTAGAAAGCTGGACTCCAAAAATAACTTTAAGAAATAAAAATCTATACAACAATAGTAATAATAAAGACAAATGTTCCACCTCATCAATGAAGCAAGGACTTGGTCACTGGCAAAGAGTAGAAGGAGGGGACTCTACCGTAGGTTCCGCGTCCTGCCATCTTATGGAACTGCTGCCAGGTTAGTGGCCCCTGCACGTGCTGGATGTTCTCCCAGGTCCGGCCCGTGCGCTTCTTCTGGATGGCATCTTGGAGAAAGGGCTGCAGAGACAACAGCATGCGCACCACATCCTGGGAGGAGAGCATGCTGATGTCCAGCACTGGAAGAGACACGAGAGCAGAGAGGATCTCTGTTAACCCACAACACACATTCATTAGCTACAGGAATATCTAGGATTCTGGACCTAGGGATTAAAAGATCTTCTCAATTAGAAAACAACTGACAACTTGGTAATAAAAAGTTAGTAAAAGGGAAATGAGTTACTACAAATAAGAGAGTTTAACTAAAAAATGGTTTGACAAGAGGAAGATTTGTTTCCAAAATTTTCCTAAGAGCTCTGCAATAGTTCCTTGATTATCATATTACTTTCATTTCCAAATAAAAATGCTTTGGTTACATGTTAAGTTAGGACACAAGAAAGAGACGCTTAAAAAAGCATTTGGAATGCTGTTAATATAAAATATTTTCCCAACAAATAAGGAATGCATAAGGAGAAAAAGGGACACTGAAGGCAGCCTGAAGTGAAGCATACAGAAACACGGCAGAAGCAGCAACAGGATCCAGTCATCTTGAACACACACAAGGAGTGGGGCTCACTGGGTAGGATAATATAAATGTTCCTTCTGTCAACAGTCACCCTGGGAAGAGATGTTAACCTCTATGCAAGTACACACATGTGAATGTGTATGTGTTTTCTCTGGATGGAAGGCCCCTAACACTCACCACATTCTCAAAAGGTCCGTGGAAACAGCACAACAGACTTGAAGTGATATGCTATGAATTTGCCTGACTGGGCTCCTGGAGACCTTTCCTCATACCTACTTTTCTGGCTAAATAAGAAAAAGACTTGAAGAAACATGTAAGACATGTCTACCAACTAAATCTGAGTGAGACACAGGTACTCTTTAAGACCCCTACAGATAAGCTCCTAAGTCAATGAAATACAGCTTCTATTAACCTGTATTGATGATCCTCAGAATTTTTTTTCACCTTTGAGGACAAAACTCCAGGAAATTATACAAATGTAGGTTGTTTGGGGCTAAGCCCTGTGTTCCCACATAAGCTTTACTTGGGGAGCTGAGGAGCTGAGGGCAGCTTTCCCCGCTGTACTTCTCCCTCAATTAAATCAGCTTTAGGCTCTTTATTTTACTTATATATACATAATATATATATAATTATAAATTATAGATAATATAGATAATATGTTACATGTTATATATATTATAATATATATAACCACCACCAACAATGAAGTTGTTTCTCTGTACCTTTGCCTCTACCAAAAGTGGAAAATAAGGGTATTACAGCTTTCTGAAAAATAAAACTAGAGTATTTCTTGTAAGTCCTATTCCTGTACATATAAAATAGAATTGAAGGCACCTCATTCATTTACAGTAATATTTGCTACTTTTAAGCATCTTCCCATTTTTCAAACTTGCTCTACAGTAAGAAGTACAGTTCCTCACAGGACAAGTTGATACCACTGATGGATGCAGACTGCTTTTCTGTCCCATGACAGCCAGACAATCCAGAGAAAGGAACCAGTCAAGCTGATCCTCCACAGTTTTTCGGGAGAAAGGAAGGTCTCTTTACTTCAACTATTCATTCAGGAGACACTAAGGACCTGCTAAGCACAGGACATTGTCTGAAGCTAAGCAGTTGTAAAACCAAAGATAACGCTTTACACTTTCTTAGGAGTCTTAACCTCCTTACTTAGACTATTCGATGATCTCTGCTCGCCACACGTACTTTTACCATTCCCCTTTTTAGTCTAATTTAAGCTTTGCCTATTGCTCTCCCCTCAGAAAAAGAGTTGAGGAAGGCAGGGTAGGTGCTTCATCCCCACACTGTCTTCTTAGTAAAGAGACAGGATTAGCCCACCTTCTACTCCTCACCTGCACTGTTTTGTGTGCTGCCCACCTCCTCTCTTTGGAACACAGGGCAGCCCTCACTTCTTCCTAAGACAGGCCCCACTCTGCTCCATCCCTTTATGCCCCATTCTCTCCCTATCCATATTTCGCTCAGCTCTGCCCTGGCTTCCTGTACACTTTCTTTCCTCCTCAGTGAACTCTGGGTTCTGGAATTACCATGCATATGGCAAATGCTTGTCTTCTGAGCTCCAGCCCCAGTCTCTACCCAGAGATTTCGAAAGACATCTTAAAAACTCCATTTATGACCTTTCTCCCCAGACCATGTCTTACAGCTGCGGATGTATGAATGATAGCACTGTCTATTCAAGGACATAATTTACAAACTGGGATCTTTAATCCCCTCCCAAACTCAATCCAGTAACAACTCCTGCAATAACACTTCAAAGCACCTCTACAATGTGTCTACTACTTCCCCACCATAAGGCAAACTATGGTTTCTTATTTGATCTGAAGTCTTCCAGATTAACTTCTAATCCACATCAGAATCATGGTCAGAATACATGTTTCTTATTCTTGTTCGCCCCTCATGATGGTCTCACATTTTCTTCAGACACATTTTAGTGTGCTCTGAAGACCTGATTCCCACCATGTTTTAAGGGCTCTGTATAACCCAGTCTCTGCTAATTCCTAACCTGAGGGCACAATTTAGTCTAACTCCGGGCCTTCACACTCATCTCTCCTGTCTAGGACACATGATCTGCTTTCTCTTCTTCCTCAGTGAGAAGATCTCTGAGCAAGTGCTACCACTCCAAGGGAGTCTTTCCCAACCTCCTGTGCAAGGTAGCCTCTCTGTTCCATGTTCTCATCTCTTACAATGACTGATTTCAATGTGCTGACCTACATAATTGATTAATGTCCAACTGTTCATTTTCCCACATAACTTAGAGAGCTCACAAAGGCAGATGCCTCCTCTCTGTGTTACCACACATCACAGTGGAGTGTAGCAGGTAAGGCAAGGGATTTGCCTGGCACTCTTAGAGCCTAACTCCGAAGTGTTTTGTCAGCTTGGGTTTTTATCTCCTCCACTGACACAGTGCTAGGGATTGAACTCTGTGCCTCATACAAGCCAACTAGGGATCATTCCAGCCAACCTGGAACACTAATGCTAGAGACCCTGTGATATGCTCCAGGAATCCCAGCACTGAGGTAAGAGACACAACACACTGGGAAACCAGAGGAAGGTGAAAATGTTCACTGAACCATCAGTCTCAAGGAAGCAACTTCATGGAAACCTGACCTTAAAGAATGGATGGACGTAGGCAACAGGGTACACAAATTACCAGTTTACACAGTCATGACAACTTGGACATGTAGGAGCCATGGGTTGCCAATATGAATTCCTTACTTGTGATTAATACAAGAGGAAATTTTCACAAAACAATTACTCTTCTCCAGTCATGTTTCAATAGAAAATATTCCCTCGTCTCTTAAATCTAGGATGAAATCAATACAGCCCTCATTTCAGTGACTTTTATTTTTGACGAGATGAAAATTAAAATTTTTGTTACACAGTAAAGAAAGCCTTCAGCTGTCATCACACCAAGATAATTTTAAATGGAAATCTGTTTTCTGGGCCACTTACCATTGCTGTGAGGCCATGAATGCACAGTGGCACTTCTCACCAAAGCTTCATCTATTTTTCCACCTGTGAGATTATCCACATACTGTCGCCCCTGCTCCAGTGCATTAAAGCATTCCGTCCAGTAGTCATTATTATCTGCCTGCACCCGGTCATAACTCCAGCTCACACAGGGAATTGTTTGGCGATTGTTAGAGGAAATGTAGTCCAGGAAACTCAGAGAAGCAAAAGGTTGTGTGTGCTGATTCTGCAGGAGGAGGAGAAGGCTTATGGGTGGCTCCAGAGACTTCCTAGCTCCCTCCATCTGAGGAAGAAAGGTAGACTGACACATCATTAAGCGCCTCTCTGCAGCTTGGCCAATATCAGAATTCTTCCCAAAAATATCCAACTCATCTTCAAGGAAGAGTCCCGAATTGTAGCCAAGTTTGCGGTTCATGATGGCACTAAACCCACAGGTGCAGCGGTACTGGTCCTCATTGGAAGAATCTGGGATGTAAAGCCCAACATCTGCCCCTTTGATGTTCATGTTGCAGGCACAGATGCAACAACTGTCAAAGTTCCGGTCCTTAAAGATATTCATCACAGAATCTGAGAGAATCAGGGTGACATACAGACTATGGGCTTCAGGAATTGGCTGCATGGTGGCAGGCTCCACAGAGTTAAGGGGCCGCGTGGTAGAAGGGGTAGAGGCTGGTGAGCCCTGATCAGTGCTGTCATATTTAACAGACCCTTGACCACTGGCAGTGCCCCCACCTCTGGGAGTTCTTGGAGTCCTGGGGGTTCGTGGTGTGGGAACAGAGAAACGAGGTGTTGCTGGAGATGGGAGGACTCCTGCCCCACTGTTGCTGGCTGGGGCAGCACTGTTCAGTGTCACTGGTGTGTTCATCTGTGGTGTGTTCAGATAGTCTGGATCTGCTAGGCTCCCAACACTAGGCACATTACTGCAAAAAAGAGAAGGCATCATCACATGAGGAAGGGCAGCAAGTCCAGACACCAGAGCCTACCCAATATCACCCCAACCACCACTGTACATTACTCATTTGATTTAAAAAAAAAAAAAAAAAAGCCTGGTGTTGGTGGCTCACGCCTGTAATCCTAACTACTCAAGAGGCTGAGATCTGAGAATCATGGCTCAAAGCCAGCCTGGGCAGAAAAGTCTGTGAGACTCTTATCTCCAATAAACCACCAGAAAACTGGAAGTGGCGCTGCACCTGTGGTTCACAGGTTACTCAGGATGCTGAGATCTGAGAAACCCCACTCCAAGCCAGCCAAGGCAGAAAAGTCCATGACATGCTATTTATCCCCAATTAATCAGCAAAAAGCTGGACCTGGAGGCATGACTCAAAAGGCAGAAGAACATCAGCCTTGAGTGAAAAAGCGGAGCAAAAGCTCAAGGCTCTGCCAGTTCAGTCCTTGTTATAGCCCCCTTAAAAAAGGGGGGAGCAGAGAACACAAAACAGTCAGTACAGTATATAGAAAACCAAGACAAGAAGGATTCCACAGTACACTTTCCTTCTACATATTTCACATGCAAATCATCCTCACATCAGTCTTTTGAGGAAAAGCACTATTTCTGTAAGAATACATGACAATGGGTTTAATAAATTTGAGTTTGAGAAGCTGTAACTAACTGGAACTTAGGCACATGAGTTTGGATGCTCAATTAGCTAAAAGACGATAGGACTGAAATTCCATCTAACTTGTGAGTATGGTTTTGTCTCTTTTTTTTTTTGGTGGTGGTGGTGGTAAGAAAACTTAGCAGAACTATATTGAGTAAGTAAACAAACATGCAAGAAGACATACAGACAAAAAGCAGACAGACAAGCACAAGGGCAGGGGGACACTCTAGCAGAGTATGGGTGCTCTCATAGGTAGGTAGGGAGACAAGGCATTTTTTTTTTTAAATTTTTTTTGGGGTCCGGTCATGGGGCCTGAACTCTGGGCCTGGGCGCTGTCCCTCAGTTCTTCAGCCCAAGGCTAGCGCTCTACCACTTGAGCCACAGCGCCACTTCCGGCTTTTTTCTTATGTGGTGCTGAGGAATCGAACCCAGGGCCTCGAGCATGCAAGGCAAGCACTCTACCACTGAGCCACCTTCCCAGCCCAACACCGGCATTTTTGAACCTGAAACTCTGCCAGTAAATTTGCTCCCAGAGGCTAGATTTATATATGATACTAGAATAGTTATAATCAAATACATATAAAATTTTAACATTTTTCTAATTTTCCAACTGCAACCCTTTCTTGATTCACATTTTCATAGTAATACGTGACCTGGGGTTTTTTTGGGGGGGAGGGAGAGGGGGGGTTCTAGCCCATTGCCAGTGCTGCACTTAATTATCAGAAATACTGCACATGCCATAACAGGCTTTGGTGGTAATTAGGAAGATGTGCCTGCAGAAGGAGAAACAGTGTATCCTGCTTTCTAGCTTCTAAAAAAAGATATCTGTGGGATGAAAGGCACTCTTATTCCATCTCTTATTTTTAAATATGTTGTGTATTACATATTGTACAGTTATTTTTGTTCCCTAAGACTGACTGAGTTGATGATCTATTTTCTTATAAGCAGTAATAACTTGGAAGAATAACCAAACAGAAGATAGTGTCTACAGCTGTTTCGTTCTTGTAAGACATTTTCTGGATACACTTTCTGATGTACCTATGTAAATAGCATACAAGTCTATTCTCTACACTTCGAAATCAAAGGCATTTTTTTCAGTATTGATTCTTTTATGTACAAATACTGTAGTTAGGGGCTGGGAATGTGGCTTAGAGGTCAAGTGTTTGCTCAGTGTGCATGAAGCCCTGGGTCAGATTCCTCAGTACAGAAAAAGCTGGAAGTGGAGCTGTGGCTGTGGCTCAAGAGTAAAAGAAGGTCAGGGACAGTGCCCAGGCTCTGAGTTCAAGCCCAAGGACTGGCAAAAAACAAAACAAAAAACAAATACTGTAGTTAAACTGATGTTTTTTCAATAAATGAAATATGCACTCATTCACAATGTAGAAGAAAAACTAGTAAAGAAATGCTTTGTCAAATAATTTTCTTGTGATTCTTTTAATGCCTTTACTACTAGCCTTAAAACCCAAATCAGGCATTATAAAATACTTTTAAATCTGAGACGTAGTAGTACCTTGACTATAGATTAAAATGATCCAGAAAATTTGGTTGGCAATTACTATTGTCTCAGATCAAAATAGCAAGTGTGTAACAATGATCTTCATTCGAACTGGATTCCTTTCAAGTTTACCTGTTCAACAAAACCCTGAAATAATTATGTAGTTCATACTGGATAAAGAACTAGAACTACTGCCTAAAAATGGAAATATATTTAAACTGTCCCCCTAGATAGAAAGAATAGATCGTCTGATATAATAATCTGGTTTCTCATATTCAATAAAATTGTGTTGAACATCAACCTTCTAACATAATGTTAGAAGCTGGATATACAACAATGAAAAAGACAGAAAAGTGCAATAGACTTGAGTCAAGTGATCACAGGTACACTGAGTGTGACCAAGAGGAGGTCCAGGGTGGTGGGGACTGGATACCACAACACTAGGACCATACTGTGTATAACTATGATGTCAGGCAGATATCCACTCGCTCCACAGGATGGACTTAAATCAAATGGAACTCAAACTCAGACTTAGTCTCACTAGCTACCACACAAGGCCAGTGACTGCCACATAGGAAGTTTTATTTACATTGGCCATCTAGAACACACACTAAAAAAATCTTTGGATGGCAAAGGGCAGAGGTAATAGATGTAAACAGTCACCATATGCTCTAAGCTATCCTATCATATAGTAAAAGGTTATGTGCAGTTTTTAGGGGAAACCTGCAGGAATGTGAGAGATTAAACCACTGAATGTGTTTCCTGAAGTTTCATTTATTCACAACTGGGAATGCTAACATGTGTGCAGGGTATGTGCTGGTGTGATAGCAGGACCTAAACTAAGTAAGGAAGCTGGAACACCTCTGGAGTACAACAGCGCCCACTTGCCAGGGACTCACAGCACAGTGCTTCTGAGCACATTCTTTCCTACTGGTTATGCAGTTATTTCCATGGCACCTCAATACGCCATAAGCTCTACAGGCTGGCCAAAGTTCTGGGGAGCAGGAGGAAGAACAGGATTCTCAGACCATTAAATGTTATACAGACAACTCTGAGAAGGCATGAATGTATATCTTACGATACTGTAGCCTGGCTCCCATACCTAGGGTCTTCTCACTGTGCCTCCATTAGTTTCTCATTCTGTCACTGACTTCACATACACAAACATGAAGCTGGGTTATTGCATTAAATTTCAATAAGACAGTTTATTAGGAAGTCACAAACATGTAGCCTACAGAACGAGTCTGTACCACGTATTTGTTTCGTTGATTCCTAAAATATAATGCTGAAAAAGCTTCCAAGACTTTAAAAAGTAGAAGCCATAAATGTCTGGATTTCCACCAGCACTCCAGAACAGAACACTCTGACCACACTGATCCCACCAGTCCATGACAGCAGCTCCTCCCACCGAACAGCCATTGTCACTGGGAACAGGGCACAAACCAAGGCCCACTGACCTTGCTGTCCTACAGGGGCAGGTGGGCTCATCTGGGCCCAAATACCAGTTTAAGTACCTGGTTTCTTATTTTATAGCATTGTATTTTATTAAAACAGTATTTATTCCAAAGAAAGTTGATTATGTTGGTGAGATAAGCACTGTTTTTCCAGACACCAGGAAATCTGCCCAGTGTTCATGAACACCTTTTTCATCCATCAAATCATACTGCCACTGTTGCTGCTTTTCAAAATGATGTGGGGTCAGCGACAGAGAAATTTACCTATATTAATACTGAATTTTAAGGTGCCATTAAGTAATATACTGCAATTATCACTTTGCATAAAACACCACTCCCAAAATACAACCAACTCCTATCAATGTCTGATTCAGTGGTAGTCAGATTTCACAATGAATAAATATGAGCACCACACTTCTCTATACAAATAATCCTAATTTGTATAGACAAAAAAAAAAAAAAAAACCTCATGTAGAAACATTATACAGATAATGGGCACAAAATCATGAATCATCCAAGTCTCAAATGATTTGTTATTGTCACCCCTTTTCACAAGTGTTCTCTTAGTACAAATGGTCTGAAATAAGGCCCAAAATGAGCAAAGTCTCTGCACGTACTTGTAGCCATCTCTAACGAAAGTGGCTGCAGAGGGCAGGGGCAGTTGTTCGATTTTAGGAGGAATTGCCCACGAAGGCCGAAACAGACAGGCATCGGGTATTTTCAGAGGTAGCAGGCAATGGCTCGGCAACATCTTCAGTGGAGCAAACATGGAGGATCCCACAAATGGTTGAAAAGGTGGAGGTCTGTGCACATATGAAAAGTCCTGTAACAACAAAACAGCTAGTGTTAGTGCTGGTAGACTGTTCAAAACACGCCACAGTTGCTCAGGGCTTCATAAACACAGCCACAAAAAAAACTGTATTTTTCTTATTGATGAGTTAAAAAATCATTACTACCAAAACGTTTAGTCAAGACACTATAATTAGTATGCCCAGTGGTACCTCATGCTCAAAAGATTCTTAGAAACTGTGAGTATGACACATAAATAATGTCATTTTTAAAAGTTGTATATGAGGAGATGGAGGTAGGGCTCAGTTGGCAGAGCGCCAGTCAATGAGCAAAGGTATCAGGTACCAAGTTCATGTCTCGTCTCAAAAAAATAAAGCTGTATATGAGTCCACTTGAAAACCACCCTGCCTTGAAGACATGAGTACACGGACAATTACCTTTATTTCTTCTGGCTTGGGACTTCCTAATCCATCTTCCACTTCCATTTTGAATTCTGGGAGGTGTGTGGAAACCATACTGACCGCAGGACTCTCCATCATACCTAACGCCGTCACTGTCTCTGGAAGTATCCCATCTTTGTAAGTCATCACAGGTGAAAAGGCAGGATGCTGTTCCAAAGATGGAGGGGTGGGGAACATCCTCTGTAAATCTGCAACTGCTAAAAAAAAGAAAACTCTTTGAAAGGCAAACCTACAAATATCCTCGTTCGTACCCAGGCACCCCACTGGGCTCCACAAATAATGCTGACTGAATGTTCACATCAATTACACGTGAGCACACTAAGAACGGAAGCTTCTAAAAAGATGGTCACAAGTAAAAAAAAAATGATACTTTTCTGAGACTTTACCAATATTCTATAATGCTTTATGATATGACTTTGCACCAATTAAGTGCACAAAATCTCTATTATATTCATTTTTCTTTCAATAGTTACTAAAAAAAATGTATTAGGAGGTGAATGAAAGGGAAACTGGAAGTGATTTAGATGTAGCTGCATTATTAAAAATTCTACCCCTGGAATATTAAAATTCTATTCCTAAGCACTGATGGCTCATGTCTGTAATTCTAGCTACTCAGGAAGCTTTGATTTGAGGATCCCAGCTGGAAGCCACCCTGGACAGTCCATGAGACTCTTTATCTCCAAAAAGCCAGAAATGGAAGTATAGCTCAGGTGGTAGAGCACCAGCCTTGAAAGAAAAGGCCAAGCAAGGGTGCAAGGCCTAAGTTCAAGCTCTAATAATACTGTGCGGGGGAGGGGGGGGGCGGCGGCGGGGGCAGGGAATAGGGGAGTGAGCACACAGACAAATTCCATCGTGTTTACAATGATACATGAAATATTAAAAATAATAAAAACTGGTTTCAGGAGATCTTTGTGCCAACCTTTTGGGGAAACAATTCTGCACGCATTCCAGACTAGAATCAAAATATAATTTGTTGGATATCAATCATGTGTTTTAAGAAGAAAAAAAAAAAAACAAGTATTTTAAGAAATACTCAGAACTGGGAATGTGGCTTAGGGGTGGAGTGCTTGCCTAGCATGCATGAAACCCTGGATTCGATTCCCCAGTACTACATAATAAGAAAAAGCCAGAAGTAGTGCTGTGACTCAAGTGGTAAGGCACTATAGCCTTGAGCAAAAGAAGCTAGGGACAGGGGCCCAGGTCCTGAGCACTTGGGGGGGGGGGGGGGGGAAGGTACAAGAAAGAAGAAGAAAGAAAGGGAGGGAGGGAGGGAGGGAGGGAGGGAGGGAAGAGGGGGAGGGGGAGGGGGAGGGAGAAGAGGAAGGAGGAGAATAAAGAAGGGGGAGGATGGGGAGGAGGAGGAGAGGGGGGGAAGGGGGAGGGGGAGGATGGGGAGGAGGAGGGGGGGGGAGGGGGAGGAGAAGGACAAGGGGGACGATGAGGATGAGGACAAGGACAGCAACTCAAGAGGCCATGTACAGGGTCCTGAGTTCAACTTCAAGAAAAAGAAGAAGAAAGGAAAAGGAAAGAAAAAACCTCCACTAGTAAACAATTCCCAATCCTTTTAAAAAAGTCTCTTTAATATACCTGAAGTAATCACTAAAATTGGGTTTATAAAGCTTGGCCACTAGGGGGGAGTCCTGTCCAGCAAATGTATTTAGTTTAAATCAGCAATTTGGAATCCTATTCAAGGTCCCCAGTTCTTATCCTATTGTCTTCAGTAACCAGTGAATAGACTAAGATCTGACTCGAAGCTCTAACCAGAAATGAATACAAACCACCAGCCCACATTCTGTCCTGAGCTGCTGCCTATGGCATAACTGCATAAAGAAATAACAGCAGGCCGAAAGGCACAGCTCAGGTGCCCTGACACAGTTCTGCTAAGGCCAGGGCCTCCGTCTAGTAGAGAAAGCTTGAACAGATGTGGAGTTCTCAAAGGGCTTGCTTGATTTTTTTCTGTCTGGGACAGAGGAGGTTCCAATAACCTCCTCAGAAAGAAAGATGATAACCTCTGGGTTAGATGAGGTTCACCATGGCACAGATACTACATGTAAAATAGAAGGGGGAACACCAGAGGCAGGGTGGCAAGTTTCAACTCTCACTTCCATTGACTGTACTGTGTATATAAGAATTCACTAGTGCAAATGGTAAAAAAGAAATCCCCAAAGGTGAGCAAGGCATCGCCTTGCTATGACAACATTCTACCTGTAAGAAAGGGAGCAATTCCAAGAAATAAGAAAAACAATCAAAAAGGAAACTACTAGAGAACTATTTGGTATGCTACGTAATAGATCCTAAGGTGGAAAAAGGTCTTCAGATTTGGCTGAGTACAGATATTTTTAAATATAGAAGATATAGAGTTTACCTTTAACCTTTCCCAAGAAAAAAGAGCAGTGACTACAAGATTTTAATATAAAATTCAAATGCATTTTATAGTATTATACTGCCTTACAAAAAAATTTCAAATTGCCTTAAGATCCTCAAGTTATGTAAAAAATATTCTTCCAGTCAAAATAATAAACAAAACATAGCCTTTTACTTACAAATATTCTGTGATAAAACATTTTACCAAAAAAAAAGTCCCTATTAGCTTTTAAACTAATATTCTATGATAAAACATTTTATGAGAAAAAGAGAGTCCCTATTGGGGAAGGAAAATAACAAAATGCTGAAACAAGGTACAGATTGACCCATTGTAACAGTTAGATGCACAGACACTATGTTGAAAACAAACTTCACAACTTTTGGAGGGGGGGAGTTGGGGGTGAGGCAGGGAAAGGATAGTAAAGGAAAAACAAAGGAGGAGGTAACAATGCTCAATAGGAAATGTACTCATTACTTCACTTATGTAACTGTAACCCCTCTGTACAATACCTTTACAAAAAAAAAATTTAAGTTCCCATTAAACTAGCTTTTAAATTTCCTCTAAGAAATGTGATGACCTCACTTGTACTTGTGCTGCCTGATTTTACTGCTGGTGCTCTACATACATGTACAGTTGCACATCTATGCCTGTTCACTTTCACCAAGACAGCGTACGTACACACACACACACACACACACACACACACACACACACACACACACACACGCACGTGCGCAGAAACACCTAGGTTCATTCTACCAAGTGTTCTTCCCCATTTTTTTCCCCCAATCCTGGGGCTTGAACTCAGGGCCTGGGCACTGTCCCCCAGCCTCTTTTGCTAAAGTCTAGCATTCTACCACTTGAGCCACAGTGCCACTTCTGGCTTTTTCTGTTTATGTGGCACTAAGGAATCGAACCCAGGGCTTCATGCATGCCAGGCAAGCACTCTACCACTGAGCCACCTTCCCAGCCCTCTTCACCATTTTTATTAACATGTATTCCTGAGGAAGGCCTTACCCTCTCTTAACTTCAATTCCTCATCAGTAGAATGTTAGTAATGTCTTCCTCACACTGCATGCTAAATGAGATAATGGATGTACAGAAACCAACATCTGCCTCAAAGACCTGAACATGAAGTGATCAAGATGACACAAACTGAGTCTTCACTCCCAATTATTAGGGTTTGACTGGGAAAAGGTAGAACTGATGTTCACTCACAGTGAATTTCTGAAAAGAGCTTTAAGATGATAAAAGGAATTGGCCTTACTCTAAGTTGGTAAGGAAGAAAAATGAACTTTGCTTCTCCAAAATAGAAAAATATGGCTTGCAATTTTCTTCCTAGAAAGGGGCTAAAGTGAAAATAGGAAGTTACCAGAACAAACTGGAGGGAGCTGTCTTGCCCCCAGGACCCATGACTTTCTACCTTGCCCCGGCTGGAACTCAGTAGGGACACCCAACCACCTCCCAGTGTTAGCCAAGCATTCACATTCAGGAATGGAGTCTTCCAATAGTGGCTATACCCCTGATTTTTGTGTGCCCCTCACCCTAGCACTCAGAAGGGGCTGTGAAAATAGTGCTTACAGAAAAGAAATGATACCATTTCAGAACATTCACTTTCATTTTGCTTCCTCAAAGCCATCTTCAAAGGGACATGATGTCACAGACAAAACTTCACAAAAGCAAGTGCTTAACAAGATCCAAGAAAAATCTCTGCTGTTACTACCTGACTACCTCCTTCATTATTACATACATAATAATTATGAACATGTAGCTAGTATCCACTAGCTACACAGGGCTACTGGAAATTCAAATCAGAAGTCAACCAAACACATACCAATTTCAAAGAGTATCCACAAAAAGTGAAATATCTCGATCACTTTTCAAACTAACTACAGGTAAGAATTATGCTACTTGAAGCCAGGCGCTAGTGGCTCACGCCTATAATCCTAGCTACCCAGAAGGCTGATATCTGAGGATCACAGTTCAAAGCTAGCCCAGGTAAGAAAGTCTGTGAGACTCTTACCTCTAATAAACCACCAGAAAACCAGAGTGGCGCTGAGGATCAAGTGGTGGAGCACTAGCCTTGAGCTGAAAAGCTAAGGGACAGTGCTCAGGCCCGGAGTTCAAGCCCCACAACCGACCAAAATGAATAATAAGAATTATGCTACTTGAGGTCACACTCCAAGTTAATTTCATGTGTACATTCACCTTATAATGTAGTTACTAGAAAACCTAAATTGCATAAATGGTTCTGGCTTATATTTCTAGTGAATATTGCTAATCTAGTCTTTAAATTTTGTAAGTCCAATAAAACTACCTCTTGCCAGTCTACTTTATTGTCATTCTAGGGCAGAAATCCTATGCACATGCCCACATACCTTCTCTACAAAAATAAAAAATTCCAACAAAAATAAACTTACACACACACACACACACACACACACATACACACAAACTTTATGTGGATATTGTTGGTACTAACACTTCTGTGATACATTTTAAATCAATTATCTGCACTTTATCATCAATTTTTGAGTAAGTTCATTCTGAAGTAATTCCTTTTTGAATACAAGTTAAAGAACAGAGAGCACTGTGTACTTGATCTCAAATTAATTGGTTCAGTACGTGGAAAAACTTGCATTCATTTGACCCCACAGTTATCTATTTCAGTAGAATTTCTTTTAATCTGTGAAGTTCTATGTTTAAAAAAATTCTGCAGCTCAGTGTAATAAAAAAAGAAAAATGTTTAATTAAAAAAAAACTACAGCAACCAGCTAGCCATCATTATTCATTTCTATCCATGTCATGCTTGAGAAAGCTTTGAGTATTTTTTAAAGCTATGGATCCACTAAAGCTGTCAAAACCCAATCTTTGTATCTGTCCCACTTCCACATTTGAGTAAATCAGCACTACATTTATAGGTTCATAAAACTTTTTCACTCATCCCTACAACACGGTGGTTTTTACCCTCAATTTGTTCTCATTACCAGCCGAAGTTAATGAGAAGGTCTTAAAGAATGATTTGCAATGGAACTATGACTCTGCTGCAAAGTATCCAGATAAGCTACCCTTGAATTTACTCTAAAGAATCATGGGTGAAGAAGAATATTCTGAAAGTATGCTTTTCTCATCAACATGAAAAAAAAAAAACATGTTGATCTCAAAAGTATGTGTCTTGACAAGAACCAGGAAAGATAAGTATCAATAAACCCGAGTGAATTACATTTATGAAAGCATTTCATGCAGTATTTTATAGTAAGTGATCACTCTAAAAATCAAGTTCACAGCATTTATCCTACTAGACACAAACCCAAAACATATTTTTCTACATATTTTAACTATAAACAGTAATACTCTGACAAGTATTAAGAATTCTAAACAACAGTTTCTGAACATAATGAACTGTGTCTTATCACAAATACCAACTTTTATTCGTTTTCACTCACAGAATTACACCCAAAGAAAAGGAAGGGGATTTCAGACAGAGCAGCTCTAAGTGTAAGATAAGAGTGTTATATAAGAGTTACAGACAGTGACCAAAACTCAGTGACTTTCTTCACATACTTGGTGGGTAAGGAACAGCAGCTCTTCCATCCTTTCCAAGAGGCCGGTCTTCTGTCCCAATTGTAGGCATTTTTGATGAGCGTAGTGCAGGGGATACAGCCTAAAAACAGATCATTATCATTAAAACATAGTAACACTCAAGCAGAGCAGCGGTTCAACATTTCAAAGAATGTGCCTATTGATACTAAATAAAGGAGAAATGCTTCCTCTCACAATATTCACCAGGTGAATGTCAAAAAACACAGCAGACAGTACAAGGAAGGAGATGGCTACAAGCTTTTCATGTAAAAGAAACTGGGTGTGTGAAGGCAGATTGTGTATCGAAGCAGTCTACAGACCTTTGGCAATCCTTCCTTCTCAGGTCACTACAAGTCTGTCTTCATGAACACAATCATGACATTAGAACAATGTTTCCAGTAATAACCATCAGATAGTCTGGTTCCTTGCTTGGGACAAGAAGCAAAAGTAGATCTCAAGCCATCTAAAACTACTACTATTTTTAAATTTTTGCCATAAAATTTTTTCACCTTCTTTGCCTATCTCAAAATAGCTTTATTTACAAAATAAAATTCAAAAGAGATCAATTCTTTTTCTATGCAAGATTAGCTTCAAGAATACAAATATACTCTAAAAAAATAAAAATGAAGGCTGGGAAGATGGCTCAGTGGCAGAGTGCTTGCCTTGCATGCCTGAGGCCCTGGGTTCGATTCCTTAAGAACACATAAGCAGAAAAAGCTGAAAGTGGTGCTATCGTTCAAGTGTAGAGCGCTAGCCTTGAGCTGAAGAGCTGAGGGACAGCGCCCTGGCCCAGAGTTCAGGCCCCACGACCAACAAAAAATAAAAACAAAAAACTAAAAATGAAAATGAAATACATATAAAGTAAAAATTTTGCAAATACAATGCTTTTATATGGTTGAAAAATAAAATTCAGTTCAAAGACATCTGAGACAAAATCTTGGTCAATAATCTCCAAACTTCACTAACTAGTTAAAGGAATTAGCAGTTGATTTTAAAGTAAACATTTACATGATTAAATGCTAGAAATCAAAGCAGAAACACTCATTTCAACACACACACACACAAATCAATAAAAAAAATCCAACTCTCTTTTGCATATTCACAAAACAAATATTTCTTTATTAAGTCCAATAGCAATTTATATTGTTTTGCTTTGACAGTACTAGGATTTAAATTCAGTGTCTTGTATCAGTTGGTAATCTAACATTTGAGCAATGACCCTAACTCTGCTTTGTGTTGGTTGTTCTGAAGATACAGTCTCACAGACTTTCCTTTCCTGGGCTGGCTGAGATTCACAAACCTCCAGGTCTCAGTCTCTTGAGTAGCTAAGATTGCAGATGTAAGCCATCAGCAGCTGAGTAATTTATAGTTTGGACAGAGAATAAGTCCAGTGGCCCAGAACACACAGAACAATCACAATGACAGCCCATCCATATTACTTTACTGGTTCTCCTTCCTTTCTTCCTATTTCTTTGATTTGTGATTCTTAACCTTTCTATATTTTGCTATCGCCATCACTACTAAAGCACCTAACCTGACTTTCAGGATCTTAAAGACCAATCTGAGGCAGTGCTTGGCTTTCAAAGAAAGTAGAACTCAAAAAGGACTTAGTTAAACAATAAAGAAACATGTCAGTTCTTCTGTGTTTTTCATATTGCCATGTTCTTTTCTTTCATGTAGCTATTGTCTAATTCCAGATCCTCATATTCCAATCCAACAAAATACCAGATAGAACATCTACTCTGTCAGGCATCGGTGGCTCATGCCTGTAATCTTAGCTATTCAGGAGGCTGAGATCTGAGGATCATGGTTTGAAGCCAGGCCAAGAAAAAAGCCCAAAGTGAAGCTGTGGCTCAAGTGGTACTCTGCTAGCCTTGAGCAAAAGCAGCTCAGGGACAGCACCCAGACCCAGAGGGTAAAATGCGAAGCCCAAACCTGAGTCCTAGCCAAAATCTTCTCAAGTTCTGTCAGTCTCTGACTACCAAGAAGAATCAGCAATAAGCAGGTTGTTCCTTAGCTCCCAGTACCCAGATCTACTTTGTTTCTTGCTATTTACTCACAGCTCATTCACACTTAAACCAATGCCCTCCACACCTAGCTCTAACCTGTCTCTTCACATCAAGTCAAATACATTCTTCAAACCCCTTATGATCTATCTCATCAGCTTCTACGTATGTGCCACATTAATGGTGTACCTGTTAATTAGCCACAATTGGTGTTAGAAATCTGATCCCCACTCACGTTCAAGCCTGAAATACTGCTGCCTTGCCAGCAAGGCATCTGTACTTAAATAACTAGCCAGCATCCTTAGATTCTCATCTGTCACAATTGTATTGTACAATGTACAATAAGTACATTGTAACTTTATGTATGTGCTCTCTTTAAGTCCAGGACTGTCTCAAGTTAAAGGCAACAGTCTAATCATAATGGTAACTTTGATCACTAGCCTCTGTACCCACCACACACAGAAACTCATTACCTAATTTGACAATGTTTATAGAACAGATGGCTAGAAAAAAATTAAAAACTAATAAGGTGGCTTCTTAGAAAAGAAACAATGTTTTACACATTTCTAGGTCTCCTGGAAATATCATGAACTAATTCTGCCAAAGGTACAGAGAAATACAAGGATGAGAACAAGAATTTGCTGACTACTGGCCTAGTTAATCAACAAAAAACGGTCTTACCCTCCACTATAATCATAAGTCTTTTATTAAATTAAACTCTATATACTATTTCCCTACCACAAATCTATGTGGCTAGCTAGAGAGTACAAAGCACATAAAATAATATCATAATACAAGCTTATCCTCTTGATTTATTAGATGGTTAAAAAGGTATGTGAGCACTAGTTTAAAAATATCTAAAGAAACATATATTTCCTTAGGTCCAACAATATTTAGAAGAATTTAATAAAATAATTGGGTGGCTAGGGACATGGTTCAAGTAGCAGAACACCTTCTTATCAAGCACAGGCCCTGAGTTCAAACCCCTGTGCTGCCAGAAACAAACACAGTAATAAAAAAAAGCATTCACAAACAAAACCCAATGTGTTAAATACTGTATTAATAACCAAAACAGTGAGGCTCTTTTCAAGATATACAAACTTTTTGGATAACATTCAGAACCTAAAATAAGAGCCTTCAAACTCAGTAGATCCAACTATAGGGACAGTAGCCTCCTATTTAGTAGTTCTTTGTTTGATTTTGTGTTCTGGAACTGGAGCTTGAACTCAGGGCCTGGGCCTTGACCCTTTTGTTTTTCACTCCATGCTGGTGCTCTACTACTTGTAAACCACACCTCCAATTCTGGCTTTTTGCTGGTTAATTGGAGATAAGAGTCTCACAGCCTGCCCAGACTGGCTTCGAACTACAATCCTCAGATCTCAAGATCTCAGTCTCCTGGGTAGCTAGGACTATAGGCATGAGCCACTGACACCTGGCTTTTACCAAAGTTTTTACATATGTAGCTGTGGCAGACTCACCCCAAGTTCATCATCATCAGAATTATCAAAGATGTTGTCTAAGTCATGCAGGGAAGGTGCCAAGTCTGTCACCTGTGTAAGGCTACTGGAGCCAGCTCTGCCAGCAGCATTATCTTGTCGGACATCTGTAGAAAAGGGTGGGGGTAGGAAAAGGAAAAAAGAAAACAAGAAATAGAATGAGCAGATTGATCAATTAAGAAGAAGTGAGGAAAGGGCATGATCTCAATAGGTAAGATCTGCTCGTGAACTTCTTTCCTATAGTTTTATTTAAATTTTGAGACAATTATTTCCAATTATGTTTATCAGTTTTGAAAGGAACTGAAAAACAAACTATGACAAAATATAAATGAGATCAAATTACTACTATAACAATAAGAATATAATTTTAAATTGAGATGCATCTCCCTCACATTCTATTTTAGCAACAATCCAAGTGAGGCAAATAATCATAGTACACACCTGTTTTAGTAGCAGAACTGAAAATAGACATGGCATTTTTCCCATCAGGCACCGGCGTGGAATGACCTGGTGTAGTGACATCCTTGGTACCAAATCCATCCTCTGACTGTGTAATAAATTCAGCCAAACAAAACACATGAACACCAACCCAAAGTGTGGAATATGAGGGAGAACACAAAGAATTAGAGGGCTGAATGGAACTTGTTATGAGCACAAGTATGATAAACCATGGTCTATGCAACCAAAGAAATAAAATTTATGTTCTTGCTCTGGAATTTAAACAGAACCAAGAACTTCCCAACATTCCCCTCAATCCTCTGGGGTATTCGGAGTGAAGAGTGGTTTACTCCTAAATAGTACTGGTGGCATTTAGTTAAAGAATGCCATGGTGTTAAAAGCTGCCTTTGGTAACATTTTAGATGCTGAATTATAGTTCAAGCGTTAAGGACCTCCAGAAATTTCTGTAATCTAAAAAATAATTATTTTAATTTTTTTAAAAAGCATTCCCTTTGACTGTACTAGTTTATTTTCATTGTCATACTTCCTGTAATCTTAAGAATGTATCTTTAAATAGCCTAGTATTTTATAGAGCCTTTTAAAGACAGCAGACACATCCAGTACTCACATTTGTGCAGTGGAACAGGAGAAAATTAGTAACAGTCTATGCACAGTCTTGCATACTGTTGATATTAATTCAGAAAGCATAAAGGTATAATGCTCAGCACAGTAACATAATAAGTGCTCAAAAAATAGTAGATACTGGTTTTCACTTTTTTTTTCCTTTCCATCTTGGGTACTTTGGAATAATACATAAAGAGAAATAGGAGGGAGCATAGGCCAACAAGAATTAGCATATGAGAGGAAACATGCACTGTATAAGCTCCAGCCTGGAAAATATGCGCTCATTTATGTTCGGCTGACTTTTAAACAAAGGTGAGCCATGACATAAAAAAGGAGCAATATGCTGTTCAATACAATAGTACCAAGAGCATGAACATGGGAACAGAGCGATCAGGCAAGACTACCTCAACATCCGGCCTCCAAAGCCTTCCCACACACATCACACAGATAGAAACCACACCACGCGGACTCACGGTGTGGAAAAGGGTACCTTGCTCTTCTTCAGGGAGTCTTTCTCTGTCCCTTGTTTGCATTTCTTGTTTGCTGTGAAGATGTATTTTATGTCCCCATCCTCAAAGGTGTATGGGTCATTGACTTCTCCCAGACCATCTCCAGGTTGTTGTGAGAGAGGCGATGGGTCAAGGAAGTGGAGCGGCTGCATCTGGGGCTGCTTGTCTTGCCAGATCTTAAACCGTTTGTTAGGTTGTGCTAGGAGTCTAAAAAGGGAAATGAGTAACAATCTAAACAAGATTAAACAATTTAAAATGATTTGTTGCAATTTAAAAGTATGTTCGAACTTTAAAATAATCTAAAAAAACTATTTTGTGTGTATATGTGTGTTTATTTTTTAAACAGGGTTTTGTTTTTGTTTTCTATTTTGCTTTTTATTTATTTTTGGTCAGCTGTGGGGCCTGAACTCTGGGCCTGGGCCCTATCCCTCAGCGGTTCAGCCAAGGCTAGCACTCTACCACTTGTGCCACAGCGCCACTTCCAGCCTTTTCTGCTTATGTGGTGCTGAGGAAATGAACCCAGGGCCTCATGAATGTAAGGCAAGCACTCTACCATTGAGCCACCTTCCCAGTCCTGTTTTTGGTTTTTTTGTGTGTGTGTAGGATGTATGTATATGCATGACTGCCCATAACAGGGCCTGAACTCTGGGCTTAGGTGTTGGTCCTTTAGCTTTTTCACTCAAGGCTGGCACTCTATTACTTGAGCTACGGTTCCACTTCTGGTTCTTTTGGGTGGTTAATTAGATTTTCCTGCCTGGGCTGGCTGCAAACTGTGAACCCCAGAGCTCAGTCTCCTAAATAGCTAGGATTACAGGCATGAGCCACCAGTGCCCAAATACACTGAGATGAAACACGGCTTTGTCTCCAATTCCACGTGCTACTTAAAAGCACAGGTCCCCAGAACAGACTGCTTAGGTTCAAATCCTGTGTCATTTATTGGCCCCACAACCATGGTTTCTCAGTCACTCAATTAGCATAATAACATGGCTGTGGTGCATATTAAAAAGATAATCTGTAGCAAGCATGTGGAATAATGAGCGACTCAAAGCTGTAGAAATATTCTCACTAGAGATGTTTCTCTCTTATACTTGAATACACATGTGGCCTTCCTCAAAAGTGCAGCATGCAAGGAGGTTGTATGTTGGGAGGTCTCATAAAGCTATACTCCATTCTACCTAGAGGCCAAAAATAATACATACCAAGTAGCCTAAAATGCCACTGGATCTTTACATGCCAGCATGTATAAATAATGACATATGTGCCTAACCTCATGAAGGACAGAGTATATGAAATTGAAGCGATTTTCACAGTCAAAGTCTTGAACAGAGAAGAAAAGCCTGATTTTCTTTGGCGCTGAAGGTTTGGCAGGAAGGGCTGAAGTGGGCCGTGCCCCTTTACCCCCCTAGCCCCCGACCCAGAGACAGCGACAAGAGGGAGCTGTCTTACCTTTGCAGTGCAGTGCTCTCTGAGGGCCCCTCTATTTTGGTGTCACATCTCTCACCCTGGAGTTCTGGAGGTCGGAACTCAGCATCATCACTGGACGGGAGACGAAAACTTTGCCACCACTTCTCTGATGACTCCAGGTTTGAGGGCCTAATACCAGTATATAAGGCTGTCTCGCTGACCTCTGCCATCAGAGGCAGTCTTTGGCCTACGAGGACAGTTCTGTCATCCAGAGTGGACAACTGCTGAAGTTCGAGCCCATTTCCATACAAGGCTGGATTCACAGGGACTGAAGGTGGGTCCAGACTCTCTGCTTCCTGACCTCGTGGCTGAGGGCTGAGTGTTGGTGGTAGCGGGGAGATAGGAGAACGAGGTGAATCCATAGGATTCAGATTCATTTGCTTGCTTGTGTTTCTGGAAGGCACAGCCATTTGCTTATCATACTTTCGACTACTAGACACCTCTAAAGAGGAATCCATCCCTGCCAAGCCTAGCTTCTGTCCTGATGTGTCTGGCTCCATGCATAACTCTTCAGCAACAGAGGGCCGGTGGTGAAATGGTATCAGAGGTCTCTTTTGCAACTTGTCTCCTTTTTCTTGTCTTTCTGTTGTTTTGTGCTTAGAAGAAGCAGGAGGTGGTAAAGATGAAGCTGAAGATGGTCCTGCACTGAACCCTGGTTGAGATATTGTGGGAGGTCGGTTGGGTCCTACTGCACAACGTTTTAAAAGTTTATGCCTAAAATGAGAGTTAAAATGAAGTCTACAAATACACATATACAAATAACTGCATCATGAGAACATTACAAAAGAAATGTCTATGACAAAGATGCATCTTTTAGCACACATACTGGATGCTAACACATCTACAAGGACTCCAGCTTCTAATTAGATTTATAGTGTCTAAAAAATGCAATTCAGATTGATGGAAATTGAAGAATCAATCACATACAAGTTAAACAAAAAATTGATTTAAATTATTGATTGGTTGATTGATTGATTGATTGTAGGCCCCGGGGCTTGAACCTGCAGAGCCTGAGCACTGTCGCAACTCAAGGCTAGTGCTCTACCACTTTGAGCAACAGTGCTACTTCTGGTTTTCTGGTGGTTAACTGTAGACAAGAAGTCTCATAGACTTCTGCCTGGGCTGACTTTGAATTACAATCCTCAGATCTCAGTCTCCTGAGTAGCTAGGATTACAGGTGTGAGCCACAAGTACCCAGCTTGGATTTAAGAAATTTAACATGCTAATTCTTACAAGATTAGAACTCTACATTTTCCTAAGTCAGTCAACATCTCAGATGACCTAACTCATACTGTATCTTAAGACCTTAAAAATGTAAGATCATCTGCCCAAACTTAGAATTTTCAATTTCTATTTTATAACACTCTACTAAAATCTAATTAGACTGATTTAAAAGTTATTCTATATACTGGAACTAAGACGAAGTCTCTGGAAGTATAATACTAAGATAATAAGGGTTAAATCCTAAGAGAACTTAATAACTTAATAGGATAAAAATACTAAAAACCTTACTTGATACTTATTACATGCAGAAAAGATGGGATCTAGGGCAATTACAGACATATTACAGTGGGACAGAAGTGATAGCCTGTGAAAGGGTGCATGTGTACAGATGTACCTGAACCATTTCATGTAAACAAGAATAAATATCATGTCTGCTCACATGCTAACACACTTCTTGGCAAGCATAAGCAGCATGAGAAATGGCTTCGGGGCCCACTACATGATACCAAGGTTTAATCTGTGCAACAAAGTTATATAGCAGGTCAGCCAGTTCCTCCCAATATATAAATCATTCCCAGGGAAAAATTGTAAGCTCTCCTGCAGTGTAGCAGTAACTCTCCAAAGCCACTAGGGTGGCATTAAATTACTGCTGCATTGCACTAAATGATGCCCTAGTGGGCAGTAAAATGGATTTGTGTGGCACAATGGGATGGTTTAGTGGGACAGCAGGATGGCAGCCCTGCTCCATAAGACCATTAGGTAGCGTGAGGAGTGGACCATTCCATAATGTGTTTGATAATACTGCAGTAGATAATCTGAGAACACTCTTGCCATTGCTACTTTAAAAATTAAAGAATTCCTGACTTTGAAGAGGGTGGTCTAAGCATAATGCTATTGACAGTACAACATAGTACCACACTAACTGAAGAGAAGCTAATTGTAAAATATCTCAATCACATCATCTAAATGTCTCAACATTTGAAAAGCTAGGCTCGATATTTTCACATAACAACTTTGTTACTTGGATTTTCTCACAGATTTAATGTATCAGTCCTTTGGTAGTTGTTTTATTTTTACAGCAAACTCTTCCAAGTAAGAACTTCTGTAAATAGGATAATATCTTACAGTTGTTTCTTACAGCAGTATCAAATGACTCAACTAACAATGCCAAATAGGTACAATCAGGACTGTGCCCACAGGTAGGAGACAATCCTAGCAAATCCCTGTTCAGGGAAGAAATCAGATCTGGGCAGGCTTCAGGAAGATCAGGCTTAGAAAGCCACCTAGTCGCCAGATGACAGATGGTAGGAAAACACCAGAAGCAGGGCCAGAGAGAACAGGAGGAATATGCAGTGGCTAAAAGAATGAGGAGAAATTGAAAACAGACATTTCAAAGGAGTCATGTGAAACAGTAACAGATTAGAACTGGAAAATGAAGAAAAGTAGATAAATGATTACATTAATGGGATAAGAAAGGAAAAGTATAATAGAAAGATTACAATAAATGACCTGGCTCAGGGGGAAAACAGACATGTGAACATTAAGAATGTTCCTTTCCCTCCTCCCTTCCCTCCCTTCTGCCCCCACCCCCTTTGCAGGTGCTAAGGATCAGAGACAGACCTCACTTGTGCTCACAAGTGCTCTATCACTGAGCCATACTCCCAACTGCAAGGATACTTCTTAAAAGCACCCGCAAAATAAAAGACTAGATGACCTGAGAGGTAAGGTGTAGAGATAAACATCTGGAGGTCTGTGTTGTGGTACCCTGGTATGCACACAGCTATTAAAAGACCCAACGGTGTAAGAATTTGGTGAAGAAATAAAAGCAGTAATTTCAGAGCACAAAGGAAAAGCATTATTCATTTGCACTGAAAATGAAAGGTATGTGATAAAAGTACGTAAAAAGGTTATTTGGGGGGAGCAAAAATAAAAAATCTAGATTATGGAAAAGTCAGACAAAGACACAAGTCAATCTATGTATTTGCTAAAGATGGACTACAACTTGGCTCTGAGTCATCCATCAATCAGTTCTAACAGAAAATGCTTTTCCATTACACAATTCGTAAGGGCCTAGACACAAAAGTAAAAACAAATACTCAGCTACAGCATACCACATCTACCCTAAAACCAGAGGAGAACCTCATGTGCTCAAAGGACTCTTCACAAGCAAGCAACTTCCTAAAAACAGTGCTCCTTAGCCGGGCACTGGTGGCTCACGCCTGTCATCCTACTACTCAGGAGGCTGATATCTGAGGATCGCATTTCAAAGTCAGCCTGGGCAGAAAAAGCCCATAAGACTCTTATCTCCAATTAACCACTCAAAAACTGGAAGTTGCACTGTGGCTCAAGTGGTAGAGCACTAGCCATGTGCACAAAGAGGCTCAGGAACAGTGCCTAGGCCCTGAGTTCATGCCCCACAACTGACCAAAGGAGGAAAAACAAAAAAACAAAAAAACAAAACAGTGTTGTATGAAAGGAGAGAAGGTTAGCACTCCCCTTGACAAGGATGGAAGAGGCCCTTGGGCCTGACAACACGCATACGGTTAAGGCATTGCCACCTACTTCGTGGCATCTAACCATCGTTTTTGGACAAGGGTCTCATATCTAAAATATACTTGGAACTCAAAAAATTAAACCCCCCAACAACAAATCCTCAAAGAAACAACTGCCCAATAAATAAGTGGGCGAAAGACTTAAAGAGAAACTTCTCTGAAGAAGAAAGAAGGATGGCCAATAGACACATGAAGAAATGTTCAACATCCCTAGCCATAAAAGAAATGCAAATCAAAACAACATTGAGATATCACCTCACTCCAGTTAGAACGGCAAAAATCAAGAACTCTAACAACAACAGATGCTGGAGGGGATGTGGACAGAAAGGAACCTTACTTCATTGTTGGTGGGAATGTAAACTTGTTCAACCACTTTGGAAAGCAGTATGGAGGTTCCTCAAAAGACTTCACATAGAGCTCCCCTATGACCCAGCAATCCCACTTTTGGGCATTTACCCTAATGTTTACAAACAAGACCACACTAAAGCTACCAGCACAACTATGTTTATTGCAGCATTATTTACCATAGCTAAGATATGGAACCAACCCAGATGCCCCTCAGTAGATGAATGGATCAAGAAAATGTGGTATATATACACAATGGAATTCTATGCCTCCATCAGAAAGAATGACATTGCCCCATTTGTTAGGAAATGGAAAAACTTGGAAAAAATTATATTAAGTGAAGTAAGCCAGGCCCAAAGAAACGTAGGTCCCATGGTTTCCCTTATTTGTAATATCTAGTATACGTATGAGTCAAGCGGAAAAGGTCAGATAATGTGATGTCAGGAAAATGAACCCTTAGATGTGTATTTTAATGGTTTTTTTCTTTCGTGCATGCGTTTCTAACACATTTATAAGATTATCTCTTTGTTGCTTTGTATGTCCCTCCCCCATAGTATAACCCCTGCTTTCACTATATTTGATGTCAGTATAACTTGTGGAGGAGATGGGGAAAAACCAGTTGTTTAAGGATACAGGTGGACCTGTTGCAACAATGAGAAGTACAAGTTGTCAGGTCCAAAACGAGCTTTACAATGTTAGTGCGGGGTGGGGGGGGGGGGGGGGGGAGAAAAGGGGGGGAAGGAGAAGGATTGGGATTAGGGGGGGAGGGGGGAGGCTGTGAAGGGATGTGAAGGGTAAACAAAGGAGGAGGCTGCGATGCTTGGTAAGAAATGTACGCATTATCCTGCCCATGTAACTGTAACTCCTCTGTACAGTATGTTCACAAATAAAATTAAATTAAAAAAAAAAAAAAAACACGTGCTCCTTGAAAAATTCAACCAGGAGTTTCATTAGGCTGACAGAACATCTCTCAACAAGACACTGCCCACCAAGGCAGAGCTTGAGCTTGATAACAGTATCATCAAAGGGGCAGGAAAGGATAGGCAAAGGAGGCCAAAAATGTTTCTACCAATGTACCTACCCAGGAAGGTTTGTATTCTTGACCTGCAACCTAAGTCACTAATGCTATATTAAAGACCACTGAACTAAACAAAGAAATAAGTAGAAATCTTCTACATATGCTTATATAAAGTTTAAGCACTAACTGATTCAAAAATACATACTTTAGAAGCAGAGCTACCCATTGCCTAATAAGTAAAAAATCATCAAACAATTAAACTAAGGGATAAAATGTATATCCATAAACTCTAATGAAGATCCAAGACAGTAAGATTCTTTACTACCACAACAAGTGGAATATTCTTGAGGACACCTAAATGGATGCGCAATTAAGATATCAGGACTATAGGACTTGTAACTTTTAGCAGGTGTTCCTAAATTCCTACCTTAGTCATCAAAAAGAACAACAACAACAAAAAAAAAACTTCCTAACAATTATCTACAGAAGGTCAGATTTATCAAAATTCTACTAACTTCAGCCAATCTTGTTTTCAAACTGTTTTAAATTTTCTACTTTAAAAATTGAAGAAGTTAAATACTGCCATTTAACTGGCTAAGAATTTCTTGCCAAACTCACATCCTTTACTTTTAAAGTAGCTAACTGTAAGAAACTGTGGGAACAGTCAGATTGCAGGAATGCTGCTTAATAAGCTGAGTCCTGACAATAAGCTCTATCACGTGCATGTAAGGAAAGACTTCTTCCTTAGTGTGGGGGTGTGAGGGGAGGAATTCAAAACTAAACAAAGGACAGAGACAAGTGGCCTGAGAGGCTGGGCAATGAGCCAACCAAGTATGCCACTGCTGCCTGCTGTTCTGCTGTCTGTGCACCCACCTGGAACAAGAACAGCTGACTCTTTGGGTTGGATCCACAAAACCCCAAGCAGCAGGACTGTTAGCAGGCTCTTCTTCAAGTGTTGGAGTTGACATCTGGCTCCTCCTACAAAGGTTAAAAATGTGACTTACTTGCCAACATGAGCTAATATTCTTCTATGGCAGGGGTGGAGAATGTGTGGCTGGCTGCTCAAGGCCTACCAAATCATTTGGCCCACGATGGATCAGACGTGCATGCTGCCCAAGCAGTTAGAATTACAAGTTTGAGCCACTGCGACCAACTCTATGCCATTCTTTAGCTGATAAGGCACTTGACATTTTTCCTGAGGAATCAAGTGACGTATGTCAACCTTAACTTTGTTTTGAATTTTACTCTAAAAAGGTGAAATACGTGTAAAGCCATGTCAAGTGTGGTCACAGAGGGTATAACGTGACTGCCTCCATGTTGCAGTGGAAAGGTGGTAACTAACCCATGACCAGCACATAACCCACAAACATACTTGGACTGGGCTCGGTTGAGGATGCATTCCTTCCACACTCGATGGACCATATGATTGTGGAGATTTGGAGGAATCTTCCCCGATCTCTTTGGACTGTGCATAGTTATCATGCCCCCATCTTGGGAACCTAGGTGACTGGCAGCACTCTGCATACCTCCACTTTCACCTAGAAAGCAAAGACAATTTGTAGTGGTAGAATTTTCTGGAAATGTCCCCGGATACACAGGCTATTGTATTCAAAATAAGCATTTCAACTGTCAGAACTCCTGAAGCTTTATCCATATTCCTTCGCATTAACACTACCTATAGGTAGAATAAAATTTGTGTCAGGACATTTTCTTCTGCTCTACACTATCTTTATGAATCTTTGTGTTCTCCCTAACATAGCTGATCTGATCAACTCACAACTGTAAGGCAATTCACATACAGAGGTATTCCTACTCCACCTGCACTGGATATAAGAAAGGAAGCATAATTACAACAATAAAGACTCAAACACATATTGCTTGAATTTTTAAAACAGAATACAACAAATAAGTCTCAAGGACAAAGCAGTAGAAAGAGCTTGATGCTCATTTAGCTCAATGGTTGTATAATATCTGTAAATGGTGCCTATGCAGAAGAAAGGATTTAACAGCACAAATCTTTTAGCAAGGTCAAATTTCAAATTTGTGTGTACAACTGTTTGTCCCCACATTTGACATTACTTATAAACACTTAGTGCTACAATACTGAAAAGGGTTGCCTTGGCATTTTATGTCAGAGGATTAAAAGTTAACTGGTCTCTCTTTCTCTAACTCCAGTTGATATGTAACCCATTTCTTCTGGCTATGTTCCCAATGACCACTGGTGATACTAGTCAGTGGGAATGTTAATACTCCTTTCTGATATAAGACAAAGCCCATATCCATTAATTTCACCTATTTGATTTATTAAATACATTATCAGGTTTCTGGAAAACCTCCACTCCTATCCAAAAAAAAAAGAAGCAACCTTATAACACAAGCTATTCTTCATAGCAATGCAATACAACATGATCATTACTTGATCTTAATAGTTAGCCCTATCTCTAACTTTAAACACAAAGCAAAACAAAAACCCGAATGTTTACATCCTAGAGAACTGAAGCCTTCTGGTTCCCCCCACAATTATCATTATTTTATAGTTAACATAGTTGAAGCACAAGAGGCTTAGTCTTTCATTGTTACTTCTCATTGTAAAAGTTGTCTGGCTTGGTTCATAAAGTAAAAGAATTCAATTCAATTTTACAACTGTCCATAATAAACACCAAAAAGCAGATCATATGCACACAATATCCTCAAAAGGAAAAGGTAGGGGAAAGCAAGCTACAGAGATGCTTCTCATTGAAGCTAGACAAATACTCTTTATTAGCACTTAATAAACTAAAACGTAGGTGCTAGCTTACAGGGAACTAAACAAGTTGTAAAATGTATATTGGACGTTGCTACCTCCAACGATAAAGACAAGTAGAAGTACCCATCCCAGTAAGATGAGTAACTTCACCAAAACTGTTGGTCCCTGATAGATCCCCTGTTAAACAGAACCTCTTGGCCATTGGAGATACAAAGGAATCTATACTTATTTATTTAGGAAAAATGCCAATATTCAATGCTGGAATGACAGCACTCTTCTTCCTGCACATAATTCAGCATCCTATGACATAAAAATCTTGCCAAATTTGTTTAACATAAGCATACCAGAATCTTTTAACTTGTTTAAAAGAGGTGACATAAAAGCTTTATTTATCCAACATCTAGCATGATGCCATATTTATAGAGTAAGAGGTAGGGGCAGGACTGAAGGACTATGAAGTCCACATGAAACTCAAAATGGAAAATTTCTTGGGGTTTCTTTGGAAGGTTTAAAAAAATAATAATTATAGCCAGGTGCCAGGGGCTGTGGTTCAAAGCCAGCCCAGGCAGGAAAGTCTATCTATGAGATGCTTATCTCCAATTAACCACTCAGAAAACCAGAAGTGGCACTGTAGCTCAAGTGGTAGAGCATTAGCCTTAAACTGAATTGCTGAGGGACAGTGCCCAGGCCCAGAGTTCAAGCCCCACGACCAATTAAAAAAAATTAAATTAATTAAATTGTACATATCATGGGACTTGAACTCAGGCCCTGAACACTGTCTCTTAGCTTTTGTGCTCAAGGCTAGCATTCTACCACTTGAGCCACAGCCTTGCTTCTGGCAAGGCTGATTAATAGGAGCTAAGAGTCTCATGGACTTTGTTACCTGGTCTGGCTTTAAACTGAGATCTTCAGATCTCAGCCTCCTGAGTAGCTAGGATTCTAAGTGTAAGCCACCAGTGCCTGGCCAGACGTCTTGTATTTGAAGGGTAAAATTTATAGTTCTGAACTGACAGCAAACCATCAATTTTAAGGTGAATATAAATTTGGCAAAAAAAACCTAGAAACCGACAAAGAAAAACTTAGTACTTTAGTGTACTTGCTAAAAATTCAAACTAACAAAAGCAAATCTAATTTCAATCTTTACATTAATATACTTTGTCTATGATGAATGCTACAAAAGATTATAAAGGTGGGTTTTTCTTTTCCAATTTAAAGTAGTTGTAGTAAAACTTGATAGCAAAATCTTTTCACAAGGGGCTGGGAAGGTGGCTCAGTGGTAGAGTGCTTGCCTTGCATGAGGCCCTGGGTTCAATTCCTCAGCACCACATAAGCAAAAAGAAAAAAGCTCGAAGTGGTGCTGTGGCTCAAGTGGTAGAGTGCTAGCCTTGAGCTGAAGAGCTGAGGGACAGCGCCCAGTCCCAAAGTTCAGGCCCCATGACCAGACCCAAAAAAAAAAAAAAAAAAACCAAAAAACTTTTCACAAGGAAGCATTCAGATCTGCTCTACTACTTGAACTTGGCTGCAGTCATCCCTCAGGACCCACTGGAGACTGGCTCCTAACCTCACCATGAATACCAAAATCAAGGATCTCCAAGTCCTTTATATAAAATGTAGTATTCACATATAATCTACACATATTTTCCTATATCTTGTAAATTAGCTACAGGTTACTTAGAACAGGCAAAATAATGCAAATGTTATGTAAGTAGCCTTTATACTTTTTGTTTAGGGAACACTGAAGGAAAAAAAAGTGTGTGTGTGTGTGTGTGTGTGTGTGTGTGTGAGAGAGAGAGAGAGAGAGAGAGAGAGAGTATGTGTGTGTGTGTGTGCTTTCAAGACAAGGCAGTTTATTTCCTTGAATGTTTTCAATCTGTAGTTAATGGGGTCTACAGAAACACAACAGGCCAACATTAACATCTTTCTACCATCTTAGCAATTACATGGCTCTTCAATACAAAGATTAAGTGTTGTCCACTTTGTTTCTTCTGTCAGTTGTGGGGCTTCAACTCAAGGCCTAAGCGCTGTCCCTTAAGCTCTTTTACTCAAGGCTAGCCCTCTACAATTTGAGCTACAGCATCATTTCTGGTTTTCTACTGGTTAACTGGAGATAAGAATCTCACAGACTTTCCTGCCCTGGCTACTTTCTAACTGTGATCCTCAGATCGCAGCCTCCTGAGTAGCTAGGATTACAACCGGCAGGTTGTCACTTCTATGTCTCCCACAGAGTATCTGAATAGTTCCTTCTAAGTAACTTAATAATGCGTGCTAAAATTAGAGTTTTGAGTATTACTTTGAAATGTTTTAAACTCCTAGCTATATATTACAGTATTAGTTATAAGATGCTCTCACATATACTACCTAATGCTCCTAACAATTTGTAAAGTATGTATTTAACAGAAAAAGAAAAAGCATGAGACTCAGAGAAAGTATGAAAATTAAATAAATTCATAAATTCATATTGCTTTAAGACAAGGCTTGATCAATCACAAAAACTAGTTTTCCCCAATACACTCTTCAACCAGAAACATTTGTGGAATGCCTACTGCATGGGAAACGCTATGCTAAAAACAATGAAAAGCCACCTTATCTAACTCACACAGAAATTACTGTACAAGAGTGTATCCTAGCTCCTTATTTTTATCCTAGTTGTTCAGCTCCCAAGACTGTTTAAGTTTTACAGTTTACTCTAATGTTCTGACTGACCAACATGGTCATATTAAGTGTCCATAAACAATCGCAATTGTCACTTTGAGAACTTGCCTTAATGACCCTATTTCCAACTCAACTGAAGTCAACTACAACCAAAAAATGTTGGTATAAGGAAGTATATTACTCAATAAAAAATTTTTTAATGTTCTCAATTTAAATAACTTCTAAATTTTTCCATGAAGACAAAGTATTCAAGTTCTCAAAACTGTCAAATGTAGTTAGCATTTATTACTGACAGTTACTGAGAGAATGAAGTATTTGTTCATAGCTCATAGGTCTGCTGGGGCTTGTCCTTGGTTATCAATGGTCTTTTGGACAAGAGAAGTCCATCATTTTGTAACTTACAGTTCTTAATATATGTATTTTTTAAAGCAATCAACAAGCCAGGCACTGGTGGCTGGCTTGCTATTCAGAAGGCTGAGATCTCAGGATCACAGTTCGAAGCCACCATGGGCAGAAAAGTCCCCATGAGACTCTTTATGTCCAATTAGCCACCAGAAAAACAAAAGTGGTGCTATGGCTCAAAGTGATAGAGCACTCGCCCAGGCTCTGAGTTCAAGCCCTACAACTGACCCCCCCCCCCCAAAAAAAAAGTTACAACAATACTGTTTCACCAAAAGGTGAATATGGATGGGCACAGCTAAAATACTGGAATACATAGTTCCATTTGTTTAAAACTTTTCTTCTATTTTTGTAAATAACCAAGTTACTCTATTAACTCCATCTCTTCTAGTAGCATTTCTAGCTATATGTGGCTCTCCTGTTCCATAGCAATGGAAAAATACTATTTTCTGGATTTTCTTTCCCCCAGTATACTCACCTACAACAGCCTGTTCTGGAGAGGTGGGAGGGGTCAGAGGTATTCCACAGTTACTTGGGTCCTTCACACTACCAAGCCCCTGCTGCCCAACTGTAATATGGCCTCCAGCACTGACAACACTCTGAGGAACTGGGATGTCATTCTGAGAGATCAAAACAAAAGCTGAAGGATAGACCATCCGAACACCACCTGTAAGGAAAGAGAACAGACAGAGTCGGGCCTGAGAAATAGTTCATAGAAGACTGACTCTTTCACTGAAAGAGATACTTTGATTCTGTGGTAAGGACCAAAGCTCAGTGGAAAATTAACAACTGTCAAACATGGTAGGTCCCAACATGATGACAATAAAATCTAAATCTAAAAATGTAGTAACCACCAAGGTTTAGGCAAGATAACTACTCAGACAGCATTGTGTCAAGAGAATCAAAATTAAGATGGGAAATTTCAGCAATGGCTTCTGCTGGACCTGAATGATTGTGAAAATTAAAGAAAATGAAGCAATTATAATGAATATTTTCTCTTACCGACAATTACTTCAACTGCCACAGGGAAATCATCATCATATCCCAATTCCTCTTCCTCTTTCAATTCATCTTTCTTTTTTAGCACCATCGGATAGAAATATTGCCATTCCTCAATCAACTTGCGTGTAGCCGGATCTGACATTTTGTATGCTTGGCCTGTTAGTGTGCCATTTAAGCCATAAGGGCTTACCAGTACTAAAGAAAAAAAGAAGAGAATTGTATGCTTTGCATTACAGAAATCATTCCTACATGCAACTCTACATTTTTGGTAACTAAGTTAAAGCACAGCAGCACTTCATGCACTGTCCTTTATTTCCTAAAGTCTTATAAAGTATGGTTTTTAAAGTATTTGGGCTTTACAAGTTGCCTGCACATTAAAGCATATTCCTATCTACTTAATAATGGTTGTGCAGTATGAATACCTAATTTCCCATGAAAGAAGATAACAAGTCAATAGCCCGAAACCTACTCAGGAGGTCCTAAGACTTCCTGAGTATCTATAGTAATTAAAGAATAATATATAAGATTTCTTATAACAGAAAATTCATAATATACAAAGCTTGAAGCATAATGCTTACTTATAATTTGAGTTATGGCTGGTTTAGACGTCTGTTGACAATAAACTTATTGACCTTAAAGTCAGGTACTCAAGAGTCCTAGTTACTTCCACTTTTTGATTTGATGTCATTTTTACTGAGTCAGGACACCAAAAAAAGAACTCATCACAGTATTGTGAATAACTCAAGCAGATCTTACCTTCAAAGGCAAGTTATTCAACTTTGCAAATAACACTTTTCTGGGAATAAAGATCATTTTCTCTGAATCACTTTCTGTTTATAAATACACCTCAGCATTATAATTAAATGGGTTGTCTTTTTCCGATGACCACTTCTTATAACAGCTGGATGACATCCAAGTGTGATTTCTCAAGGCTTGAACCCTGAAACCCTAGCTATGCAAAAGGCAGACATTGGGGATTTCGGGGCTCAAGAGCTGGCTTAAGGCCAGCCTGCACAAAAAACTAGCAAAACGCCATCTCAACCAATGGCTGAATGCAGTGGCACAAGGTTGCCATCCCAGCTATTGTAGGTTGGAACCACATAATGGTTGGGTACAGCCATTATGCACTTGAAATTCCCAGTTAAAGTGGAAATAATTCAGAGGTATACATGCTTCCTCCTGGGGTTTGAACTCTGGGCCTGGGTTCTGTCCTTGAACTTCTTTTGTTCAAGATAAGCACTGTACTTGAGTGCTTACCACTTGAAACACTGAGCCACTGAGCCACTCAACCACTTTCAGCTTTTCTTTTCTTTCAAGAGTAGTTTTTTGGAGAGTGTCACAGACTTTCCTGCCCAGGTTGGCTTCGAAGTGTGATCCTCAGATCTCAGCTCCCTGAGTAGCTAGGATTACAAGTGTGAGCCACCAGTTCCTGGCTTCAGATGTATATTTGTGCTTCTTTCTAAGATACTTTTAACATTATTTATTCATTAAATTTTTTAGACATTTCTTTAATAGCTTAGTATGCCTTCAAGTTTTTAGGAAATTACTTTTAAATATACTATCATTCCATTATTTATTACATTGTAATGATATGCCATTATTTATTCATTAAAATATCACACTAAAGCACCAAAAAAAGAAAGAAAGAAAGAAAGAAAGACATCCTCGACTATGTAGAGGAAGTACAAGTAGGAAGTAGGAAGATGACTACAGTCCAGGTAGTCCCAGACATCAGGTAAGGCCCTGGCTCAAAAATAACCACAACAAATAAGGCCAGCAGATGGCTCAAGAGGTATATGAGTACAAGGTCTAAGTTCAAATCCCAGGACTACCACCGTATCAATCGAGAGAAGGAGATGAACTAAAGGCTCATACATTTTTTTGGACTGTTTCTCCCATTCCTCAATGATCCAAATGGGATCGCTGTCTCCATCAAACACCGTCAAGGGCAATTTTTTTCCACTGATATGTCTAGAAAATTCTCACATTATTCTGCATCACTATGTTACTACACATCTATATGCCATCCACGTCCCTAATTATCTGTCCTTTCCATACCAATCACAAGAATAAGCAGGACAGTGTTCCATAAGTCTTCTATGACTTAAAGCAGAAGTAACAAACCACTAAGATTTAAAATAACTGGTCTGCAGAGAAGTGGTAGTCCTAATATTATCATTCCCAACCTATAAGGTGGAAAGTTAGCTCCAGTTCCTCATGAGCAATGATTCCCCTTATTAGCATCAACAATTGCTTTCCTTTGGGGCAATAAAGTCTAAGGTGAAGTCAGACAACCCTCTGCATACTTATGCTCAAGAAAACAGAGTATTTAGATAATTCTGATAAATCATAATAGCACATCAATGAGGATTTTCACAACGGGGTATCTTTAAACTTTACAGTAATTCATAATTGAAACCCCAAATTCACAGAATGACAAGATACATGAAGTGGAAGGTGGGGTCCTGGGTGAATAATTTATCTGGGGGCCCAGATAAATAAGGGTTCAATGTGTCTTCCCTTGCCTCTCAATAAAGGCTTGTATTTGGAGAATAGATTCTTTCATTAAATTAAATTAGAAAACCAATCAATCATAAATAAAATGGAAGTTATTAATTTATCTAGGTGCTAGAAAATTAAAATATTTTATCAAGTTTGATAAAATTAGTATTCTTAAATTATATTGCATCTGAGATAGTGAGACTATTTGAACCAGACATCTAACAAATGATATACTGAACTGAAGATTTTTTTCCTACAGTGCAACCCAGTATAATAACATTTAAATATTATCATTCACAGAAAATTCTGAATTCCAAAAACAAAAATGAAGATTTAAATTGCTCAGTCAGACCAAAAGGACATGGAAGTTACTATGGGACATCAAGACAGTCAACATAAATTTCAAATGTACCAAGTAAAATCACAACCAAATACTTAGTATCAGTGGGAAATGTAATTAAAAGAAAATGCTAGGGCTGGGAAGGTGGCTCAGTGGTAGAGCGCTTGCCTAGCATGGATGAGGCCCTGAGTTCAATTCCTCAGCACCACATAAGCAGAAAAAGCTGGAAGTGGCACTGTGGCTCAAGTGGTAGATTGCTAGCCTTGAGCTGAAGAGCTCACGGACAGCACCCAGGCCTGGAGTTCAGGCTCCACAACCGGCAAAAAAAAAAGAAAAAGAAAAAGGAAATGCTAAAGATATTAACATCACTGAAGAAATTATACATTATCAACTCCAGGTCTGATTTTGGCTGAAATTTCAAATACTGTGTTTTACAGTAATCTTTTGTAAGCCATTACTCTCCTGAAACCTTGTTAACTAGCACAATAAAAACTTTTCATTTTATAAAATTCATCAATTATTCACTGGACTGTATTTTCCAATGTTATTTGGTTCTGAAGGAAATCCTCTATATCCTAATTTTCAATACAACTTCACAGAAAACTGTTATATACAGTTTTCCTAAATGAGCAACTAGTATTGTGAAATAGTTCTTCCTTTCCTCTTCTAAAATAGACTCGTATGCTTACTTGCCTGCAAGATGTCCTTTTAAGGTAATATTTCATCCTACAAAACCTTACTGGGGTTGAGCATGGTGATGCTTACCTATAATCTCAGCAACTCAGGAGGCTGAGGCAGGAGGAATGCAAGTTGGAGACCAGCTTAGAAACTACAGAATGAGTTTGAGGCCAGCCTGGGCTACATAGTAAGACCCTGGCTCAAAAACAAAACACCAAAAAAACCCTTCCTGGACAAGACGCCTGCCCCCTTGGTGGTGGTGCAGGGGTGCAGCAGGCACATCATCACTGACTTACCTTGAAATGGTGCAGGTGAAGACTGAGCCATGTGTATATGCTCCTCATTGATCAAATAAATTGGCTGGTGTTGGGCAATCTCCACACTTGTGCACACATTACTTTCTCCATGAAGAAAGAATGTGAAAGCACAGGACAAATGCTCACTAAAAAAAGAACGAGAGGCTCAGTTTTACATTTTGGTAGAAAACGGGTGCTAGAAATGCAACTACAGGTAAGATACAGCCCTGCTTTACCAGTCAGCTGACAAAGCTGACCTCAAACCGACAGAACACAACTTCTAGTGACTGTGCACACATAATACTGACAAAATATCTTGTCCAGAAACTCAAAGCTGCCTAGCAAATCTGCAATTATCTATGTGCATTCTGAAGTTTTGAAAGTTACTATGCAGAATGCTTCCTATTTGTTGCATAAAATCTAAATCTACTATGTCAAATATAAACTTCTACTAGCAGAAAACCTCAATATTTTTCTTTCTTAGGGCATATTCATGGTGAACAGTCAGAAGTATTAAGAAAAGGAGAAAATTGAATCTAAAACACTGATATTTTTTAAAGAGGCTTGTGAACAAAATTGATCTTTGTTCAACCAAAACTGAGTTTCAGGAACACTGAATGATAAGGTTTATTTATATTTGGCAGAATATAATAACATTAAATTTTAAAGCTTACAATATTCAAATGAGGTTAAAATAGCTGCCTTGAAAATATTACTATGGAGGCACAGGCCTGTCATCTCAGCACTTGGGAAGTTGAGACCAACACTGAAAAATACAGCAAGACCCTGTCTCAAATTTTAAAAGAATTAAGGACACTGGTATGTGTGTACATGTGTATGTGTACTCTCAATATGCAACTGTGTAGGTAACTAAATAATTACAGAATGAATGTGTCTTACTTTACATTTCATAACTTATATATTTACTTCTGTTTAAGACAGGGTCTATGTAGCCCAGGAGGCCTTGAACTTGTCATCCTCCTGCTTCAGCTCCCAATTAGCTGGTATTATAGCCTTCACCACCTGATCTGGCTTACAATTTACTTCTCATTACAAAATTATATTGAAACACTCCATTTCTCCATTTTCTACACAATGAGCTCAAAACTGATAAAAATGAAATGTCACAAAAAAAATTTCAAGAGTTACTACAGCTCCATATTCTTTCAAAGTTGTTAACTTTGGCCTTAGACCGGCTGTAATACATTTCTATTCCTCAAAACACCTCATAAAACCTATTGTCTGATGAACCAAAAACATGATACCAAACCACGATTCAAAAGTTTCCTCTAAGATGTTGCTTTGGTCAATATTATAAAGCATATTTTGAGTATTGCTCAATAATAATTGTTTCAAATAAAAATTGTAATGCTTTAAGAAGATTTGGACTAAAATGATAAACATGTTATTGGCACAGTCAGAAACACAAAGATTGTTCTCTGACAAGTGTGGTGTTGCACCATCAGGAAACCTCTACTCCTGGCATTTGAATGTTTGGCATGGTAAACGAAAATAGTGGTTATAATTTTAGAAGAATTTTGAAAATTTTTCTTAGGCTGCTGATAACACACCTCTAAATTTCAAAGTTCACAAAGCAGAAAGATATACACTATTTAAACATATACAGAAATAAAACAGTAACAGCAAAAGTGCTGTCCTTAAAAAAAAAAAAAAAAAGGTGCTGGACACTGGTGATTCATGCCTGTAATCTTAGCTACTAAGAAGGCTGAGATCTGAGGATCACAAATGGAGTCAGCATGAGATTCTTATCTCCAATTAGCCTTCAGAAAACTGGAAGTACCTCTGTGGCTCAAAGTGGTAGAACACTAGCCATGAGAGGGGAAAGCTCAGGAAGAGTGCCCAGGCCCTGAGTTCAAGCCCTACAACAGACCCCTCCCCATCCCTGCAAAAAAAAGGGGATGGGGTACTACGAAGACATTATCTCCAACACATAAGCTATAATAGGACTTCCCCCTCCCCCAAAAAAGAAATTCCTGATTGTGAATTAAGCAAGTTTTCAAATGTGAATTTCAGCTAAGGGTTTGTGCTGACTCATCCATATTCATATCCACTATCCCATAAATATAAATAGTTTATTTATTATAAGAAATGGGTGGCAGGTACAAATGTAGTGTAGCTACAGAATAGGTTTTGTGGTAACACTGATCTATCTCGAAATGTGTGTGAGAACGAATACAACGATCATACCATGTGTCCGTGGCAAAGTGCTGGAATGACAGTGAATGAAATGGGACACCAGCAGTAGTTAGACTAGCAAGAGACTGATAGGAAAAACAGAGACACAGAAGCACAATCAAAGTGTGTTGAAAGACTAAGATACAGTGATTTATGTACAACATATAAATACTTTTAAGTAGACCAAAGCAAATGAACACAGAATTACAATAGTAGGAGGAAATGAGAGGAGGGAAGGAAGGAAAAGGGGAGAGGGGAAAAGGAAAGAGAGGCAGAAAAAATGGGGGGGGGGGAGGTCAGGAAGAGGGGAGAAGAGGGAAAAGGAAGAGGGGAGGGGGAGGAGGAGGAGGAGGAGATTGGGGTTGGGTTGGGGAAAGGGTTAGAGGGAGAGAGGGGGAGGGGGGGAGGGGGGAAGAACAAAGCAAGAAGCAGAGCAAGCTAGAGTTTGGGGAATTCTAAATGCAGAAATTATGTGACACAATTAGAATGGAGTCTAAGAGGTCACCATTAGTTTTTAAAAATTACGAAAAAGTCAAAATAGTACTTATTGCCATGTTATATGGAGAAGGGAGGAGGGGAGGGCCAGATGAGATGGAGGGAAAGGGTGGTAATGAAAGGTAGTAATGATTTAAGAATAAGCCTAATTATCTAATGGCTTCCCATTAAAGGGCAAAATCAAAAGCCCAGTACCTGCCCCAGTTACTTCCCAGACCAAATTCCCATTGTTCTCTCTCCCCCTTTTCCACTCCATTCCATCCGAGTAGGCTTTCCAGCAATTCTCCCAATGAAGCAACTGCAACTTGCACCCACTGTTCCCTCTTCCTCTCAGATGTTAATATGACCCTCTCTTCCCACACTTGTTTTCCTTAAATATAACATCAAATCAGCAAGGCCTATTTTTACCACATCATTTAAAGTAATCTTCCTTCCCTATTTTTACCATCGTATTCATGGCTTTCTACTATTCATTATCTCTGGTATAATGTGATCTAAAACTAAACTACAAAAATTCTTTATATCAGGTTTTTCCTAAGGATGCTAAGACCAAAGAGAGATGTGGGGAGAGAAGAGGAAACAGGAGAGAAAGAAAAGAAGAGGCATGGAAAGAGGGTGTCCGAGGGCAAGGGGGAGAAGCGTGAAGAACAGAGGAGGAGGAAGTGGGCAAAAGAAGAAATGAAGGAGAGCACAAATATTTTAAATTCTATGTGAAGTGTGAATGTGAGATCAACTGAGTTTTATTTTTGAAGTATTGGACAACATTCATATTAAGGTCTTCATAATGATTAGCTTTATATTTTACCACTTGCATTATTAAGAAAATTAACATGTATAATTTTGAATAAAAACGAAACAAAGGATGAAATAATTGTTCTATGATTAATGAACACCTGGCCTTAGGTTATACCCAGAGTTTGTTAAAAAAAAAAAAAAAAACACCAAAATTTTAAGTGCCCTCCACAAATACTACTGAGGAAACAAGAGATTGCTATGGTAATTTTTTCAAAATAAGACATTCTTACTTTAAGTTCCTCCCTGCTTCTTAGGGGAGGAGATTAGCCTCATATTCCACCTTTGGTATAAGTATGTCTTAAAACACTTCACCAGATGTTTCTAACTCCATTACAACTTTCAAAGATCTGCTGTTTTTCCAAATTACACAAAGAAGCATGAAAGTGTTTTGCTTCAAAGCACTGGGGTAAATACCACACTGCTTGTGAGCAGCCTATGCCCCTCATTTCCGCCCCCCAAAACATTGGGGTTTTAAATAATGAGTACACATTTCTCTAAAGAAAGAATCCTGAAGTGCATCAATACAAAAGGGTAACGCGTAAAGGGCAAAGAAGGTGCTAGCTACCAACACAGCACCTGACCATGTGCTTCCTCCCCTTCAGACAGGACTCCCACTGTGTGTGCCACACTGCTTCCTACCTCTGGGGATTTGCTCCTATAGGTCTTCTGACTAGAATAAACTTTACACACCTAACTCACTACCTTCTAAATTATCTTTAAGGTCACGAGAGGGTAAATACTCCTATGTATCTTTGTACATCTCGATCATTTCTTTCCCTTTCATATTTAACCCCTCTATCTACATTTAGTGAGGACAGGAGTCACATCTTTTTTTTTTTTTTTTTGGTGGGGGGGGGGGGGGTAATTGCATGTTTGAGTGCACCTAATAGTACTGGGACTTGAACTCAAGGCCTCAAGCTTTTACTTGCTTTTTTCCACTCAAGGCTGGCATTCTACCACTTAAGCCACACATCCACTGCCACACTTACCATTTTTGACTCCTGTACTCACAATGGGGTTGGTGTGGATAGCTACAATAACACTGAAATAACTATGTGATATTTTATCCCTTTCCACTAAAATTTTCTTCCATTTTACTAGGAGACTCAGAGAAAAGTCTAGAATTCTGAGGAAAAAAAAACGCGAAATTGAAAAAAAAATTTTGTCAATTTTCTTTTTTATTTTAAAACAATTTTTTTTAATCTTTCAACTATACTGTGATTCACACCAAGAGAGTAAAGGAATTTGTTTTTTGTTTTTTGTTTTTGTCCGTTGTGGGGCCTGAACTCTGGGCCTGGGCGCTGTCCCTCAGCTCTTCAGCTCAAGGCTAGTGCTCTACCACTTGAGCCACAGCGCCACTTCCGGCTTTTTTTGCTTATGTGGTGCTAAAGAACCGAACCCGGCCTCATGCATGCAAGACAAGCACTCTACCACTGAGCCACCTTCCCAACCCTTATTCTACTCTTTAAATCTGGTCTCTCATTACGTCATAGCATATGCCCAGCACCTCCGTCACACACCACCTCCTCCTTATCCGTGTGTGTGTGTGTGTGTGTGTGCATTCTGAGGCCTCTCTCACCATCATAGAAGACCATGTACGTCCCACTGTCAGATACATCGTCTAGCACTAGCCCAGTGAATCGGAATCAGCACAATAAAT